TACATTGGTCTGTACATGGTTGACCAAGTCTTGAACAGGAAATCCCATTGCTTTGCAGGAACATATGATTACTCACTGGCAAATTTGAGAAAGCAGTTATTTCCAAACTAACTTCCAAACAACACATCAACAGATTAAGTATATACATTACACCTAATTTTACATTATTAAACCCATCTCAATCTGCTAGAGATTTCTTGGACACAGCTTTTATAACATTGGTATGGGTAATCATATATCAACAGATTAAGCATATTTATTTTTTCATGATTAAATCCATCTCATTCTCCTAGATCTATATTTATGGACACAGCTTTTATAACATTGGTATGGGTTATCATATCCAGCCCCTTTCCATTTACCAGTAAAATTTCTCTCAAAAATGTGATCAAAGGAGATTTTCCCAGTTTCAGGAGTTATCCTTTTTAAAATTTATCATTCAATGCTTATTTCTTTTCAAATTAATGAGAATAGGATTTGCCATCAGGCTACATGCCTACAAGTGTCCTCATTACATAAGTAAAAGGTCAATATGTGTTTAACACACATTTCTACATGTGAAATGATATAATATCACATAAATTTCCATGTATTTTGAAGAATAGCCATTGTATTCAGACTAAAAAGCAACAGAGAACATTTTAAAACTAATAAAACATTTTATCACATATTTTGATATGTTTCTCAATAAATTATATAGACAGGAACCAGGCTTTAAAAGAGTCATATCAACCTGCACATGCACTGAATACCTGAGGACTACTTTTGCGTTTGTTACTGTAACGTCACGATATATTTTCCTGTCTCTCCATTCTTAATAATATTACATACATGTATATTTGATGTCACAAGTATCCATTACTAATGCTGTGAGGATGCTTATGACCAGAAATACACTGAAAATCTATTCATATGAGTAAGAAAAAATGTGTTGCATTAAAATATGTAATAAAAAGGTTACTGACTGAATATCAGGAAATATGACCGCCCTTAGTCTTTGTGCAGATGCTGTCCTCGCAAGCTCAGTCTGCTTTAAATTTTTGTATGAAACCTTCCCAGAGTACTTTTCCTACCAAAATTCCATGTGATAATGGCAAATGGCATTGCAGTACTGCATTTACCATGAAGGTTTAGTTCCTATAGAGAGGTTAAAGGAAACAAAAATTGCTCAACGTATGAACAATTTCTATAAGAGACAAGCTATTGAAAAAACAAGTTGATGGACCAAGAATATCAACAGTCTCATTTAAAGTCATCATTTCACAAGTTCTATGGTTGATACAATGGACCTTGTCAGCAAATACAATCTATCATTAAGTCAAATGCTGACTGACATTTTTCATACTAATTGTTAGGCCACTATTTACAAACTGTCCACAGATTTTTCTGTTTTTCCAAATCATGACAAGGAGAACATGGAGGGTGTGACAGGTTGGCAGGGGATGCTCACTCCTCCATGGCACCTGATCCCACCTCTAATGTTTTAGAGGTTAGTGTTTGCTCTGCTCCTGATCTGTATTGTTTGAATGGATTTTTGAGCTTGAATACTGTTCGGCATTGCATCTACTATACATTGCTTTTCGTTAAAAAAAAACTGCACTACTTAGAATCTGTTACCGAAGTGCAACTAACAAACCATGTCATGTGACGTTACAGTCTAGACCTTCAAAATGTCTCAATCATGTGATTTGAAGAGGCAGATTAAAGTTAAAAGTGTAATCTATGTAAAGGTTTTTGATGGTATCCTGGAATAAATAAACAACTGCGCTCTGACACCCAAACAATCGCACTATAAAACATTTTACCCAAGATTTCAAACAAAATAATTAAAAATAATTTTGTTGACTAGAGAACACATTACAAAGATTGCTAAAGTCTCCAACAGTTGAAAAGGCAACTGAATGCTATGTGGGGAAGGATTTAGCAAATGAATAATTTTACAATTATGTATTTTGCTCATTTCCATGTAATTGTCAATATTACCACAAAGAGATGAAACTGAGAGGTCATCCTCACAAATCAGGGATTTTTGTGTTAATTCTATTTCCACCAACAGTATGGACACAAAAACTTCTGACTCGCGACAATGCTGAAAGGGTTCTTTTTACAAAAACACAAAACACTTAACAGGAGCACAACCCCATTCTACTAAACAGACAACTCTTGCGTAAGTTATAATAAGCTTGTTATATTCATAATTGATAAAAATATTAGTATTTCCCATGTTTACTAATATGTGGGTGCTTATAAAAGAGTAGGAACAAATGGATATATATTTTTTTCTAAAATAACAAATTATACAGTCATACGTAAAATGAAGAAATATTACAAGCATACTCTAAAGAGGTCTAGCATACTCAAGAGTTCCCTGTTTAGTGGTACCCGCAAGAATTTTTTTGACGGACGTAAACTCAATGTGTACCTTTAAAATAGATATGTGTCATAATAAAAAAAAAATCTGCAAGACACGCCTGCATATTATGAATATCAATGAACATTCTTTGAAACCATACAATTTTCGGCGAAAGCAGAATGCATTATTTACCTTTTCCGTGTCCTGAACTCTGGTTACCCATGTCCTCTGTATTAAATATTTTCCTGTAAACACATGACTATTTCAACATTACCGAGTCCAAATTAACCGGAAGTTGAGTTCTATAATCGCTTACATCAATAAGAATTTATTCGAAAAAGATATCATAATCACTGATTTATTATGAAACATATTTGCATTTTAATACAAGGAATAGAATAGTAATTTTGTTTTTTTTCTCATTTCTTCTTCAGGAGATAAAATGAGGGAAAACGACTTTTTTTGTCATTGTTATAGGGGGTGATGTAAACAAAATGAAAGAAAAGTTATTGTTGCTAGTTTGTTTTAAACAGGTTTGATATCTTTATACCATGTGTATTTAAGAAGGCTTCTTGACGTTTTCTTTTTACACAATTATAGTACAATATGGTGGTGTGAAATGGAAGACATCCTAGTTAGACAAGTCTTCACCACAGTTAAATGCGTTCCATTTAGTTGCAATGTAACAAATAGTCCAATCCACACTTTGGAAAAGTGCGGGGTCAACCAAAAGGTCCGTCCCCAAGCACCTGTGATTGGGAACTGTCGGGATTATTCGTAGTAAGTATGTAGATTAGAGTTATCTACACCTGTTTATTTTGCAACATTGACAACACATGAAACAAATCCTTTCGTTAAATGGGGCCTGTAGGACATTTATCATTTTAACAATAGAACATTCTATCTAAAGAATGTATCCTTGAAGTTTGGGCTAATGTGTTAACCCTTTATAAAATAGCTTGATTGTCAGAGTTCTAGGCAGAGAAGGGGGTCAACAAATTATACTGTAAAAGCAGAAAATTATTAGTGGGGGATTAAATTTCGTTGTTAACAAAATAAATTTATCAACCAAAATATGTCCCACATGAATTTTTTATATGACAATATATTGAATGGGTTACTTTCAAAACAACAAAATTAAATGCCCATGAAACTATTTTAGATGACAAATCAACGAAATTTTATCCCCATGAAAATTTGTGTTTCTACAGTATATACCAGAGACTTGATAAGATCAGATTCAGAAAGCCACTAAGTACTTGCAGGTTTATCTGCAAAAGTAAGCACTGGACCAGGCATTATTCTTAAAAATTATTTCTTTAATTGTTATTCTTCCATCAAGAGTTAAATTAAATTAATACTGTAAGCATACATAAATTAGGGCACTCAAAATTATAAGCACAGTCTTCCTTATCAACTGATTAGCATAATCATAAATAAGCTCTCATTGATTGCCTAGCCTCTGTTTTACTTGTTTTCATCATGCATTAGCGTGTACTAGAATTAGCAGACAAGAAGCAGTGCAAAAGGCACTGAAATATCATCACTGTTAAAATAAATAGGTTAGCAGTATTAATTCTATAGATATTTTTCGATAGATGCGATAGAGCAAGATCGAGTTATTTCCTGTTAGCTGCCATATTGTAGGTCAACATGCCTAGATTCCTTCATTTATATTCAACCAAGTTTAACTTGTTATACTGAACATTGATATGTAAATAACACTGTTTGGTGTTGTGATGAGTATACATTTGTGAAAGAATCTTTTAACTCATAATTTAAATATTGTTCAGTTTTTTTCCCATATGTTTCAGTCACACATGTTTAAAACTGGTTGCTCATAGAGGAAAATTCACCTCATAGATCACAGCCAAGGGGAATAACTAAAAAAAAATATGTCATAGGAAAACCATCTATAATTTAAGGATGTATGGTTTGTAGTGTTTTAAAATTATGCATTGATTAACAAAAGCAAACTAGGCAAATTAAAGAGGTGAGTGATCAAAAGATAGTGAAAACTTGTAGATATGGTTGACCAATGACCAGCTCTTGCTTTTTCAAATTCCTCGATCCTTTTTGTGTTGAAAAAAGAAACTTATGAAAATCTAACATTCTTATTTATTTGTTGATATGAATTAAAAGGTTTTACTTCATTATCCTTAATGATTTTAAAGATTTATGCAATTTAAACAGTGCAAGATTTGGAAAAAGTAAATGAGAGAACTCAAGACATTGCAAGATTTGGAACAGTTATGAATCTCTATTATTTAGTCTCTATTAAATAACTAAAATTAATAAATAAAATTAAGATCCTAAATGTAAAGTCTATGCCTAGCTACTTAGCTTGAAGCACTTTCTTAATTTTTACTCAAGCCATAAATGGGATTTGAATTATCAAAAACTAGGTTGTATCCCATTTTTCTGGAAATTTTGGAATGTATTGAATACCATAACAATTGTCTTTAAAACAATACTTATGAATGATTCAAAAAAGGTCTTTTATTTTTAGAAGTAAAATTTTTTCAAAGCTAATTTTTAGTTTCACACAAGAAAGTCAGAGACATTATGCTTGTCTTTCATGGATAGATCTTTGTATATATGCATCACACCTCAATATTCTTTATCTCTGTAGAGCTGAATTCTGTAGAGTGATATGGCCACTCCAGCATTAATGGTGCTGTATTCTAATGATGCAGTAGAAGTCCGTTACTCTGACCAGTCCTGTCTTCAGGTGGCTCCATGTGGTTCAACATTTGTCCACCATGAAAGTCCTAAAGAAATCCTACATCCTGCTCATGGTATATGAATGGAGTCAATTCAATTTCTTGAAAATACCAGTAATATTTATATCCTTTCCAGAAAGCAAGAAATCATGTCTAAATTCTGGGAAGCTCAAACTATGTATGATACTATACAAATATAGCCCTTTCATGAAGTTGATCCATAGATATATCGACTTCACAGAAAAGCATTTCGACCTCGCACTTCATGCTCTGTCGATATGCTTTTTTGTGAAATTGATATATCTTTGGATCAACCTCATGAAAGGGCTATATTTGTTATATTATTTTCTACAATGGATACATTCATTACATTATTTTTCAAAGGAAGATTATCAAAATGTAAGGAAAAAATCTTTTTTTAGAAAGTACCATCAATCCGAGTATTCTCTGATTAACCACAATAACGAAAAGAATTTTGACTAGTTTGATTGACATACGCCTGCAAATCATGTTCATTTTTACACATAGCAAAACTTCCCTAATCTATTATTGGAAAGTACAGGTCTATCCAAGTTTTTATGTTTATATTTAGAAAGACAAGGGCTATCCCATTTATTTACTTTGACACATGATATCAAAGAACCAATGAGAAAACTCGTTACAACATGTGAAAATAATATTATATTACATGTATATGATATGATACTATATGATCATTTTTTATTCTTATTTTATTTCTTGATAGTAACATTATATACACAAAAGAAATCCTGCTAAAATACACGTACATGATCTTTTTTTTTAATTCCTTCAGCAACAGAGTTGCTGGAGATAATTAGACTGGAATCTCTGTTTCCCACTTTCAGTCCATTTTTCTAAAAAAGCAAATTTAAACTTGGCATTTGGCTCCTATGATGTCATAGAGAGTGTCCAAACCAAGCTGTCAGATATTATTTATGTATGGATTCTTTAGTGTGATACAGTAAGACTTGTCTAATACAGACACAACTGGATCCATAGAAAATTGCTGGATTAGTCAACATTCTGGATAAGACAACATTTTAAACAATTGAATTTACTTAAAGGGACTGAAAGTTTACATCATATTGATCATAATAGGCAAGATTTCAGAATACATAATATCTGGATAAGACAAGTCTTACTGAACATGCTCCCAATACAGTTAAAACATGCTTAAAGTGAAGTGCCAGGGATGAACAACTTTGATTCCTTAATATCATAATTTGTTCTATCCAATAAGTTCCTAATACTTTTTTAAAACTACAGGGAATGAAAATCACTTTGCTCTAAGTGTGAATTCATTATAAGCATTGTAACCTTGTTTGTACTGTTAGGGTCATTTGAAATTTATTTTATTGCTATACATTGTTACCATCCATTTATGCTAGCACAACTGTCTTCAACTTTTTAATTTCAAAGATTAAGAAGAATAATAAAAGAGGTTTGAAGTATTTATGAAGTAAGAATGTATTCAAAGATTTTTTTTAAAAAATCAAATTCCAACATTAAACTTTTAATATACATGTACATTTGATTCAATGTCATTATTTTGTAGGAATGAAATCAATAAGTCAAAGAAGTGAATTTGTGACAAGTGACTACAAATACAAACTAATTCAGGCACTAGATTTCAGGAATAGGTTTGCAGAAAAGCCTTACATCTGCAAAGATCTAACCATGCCTGATCAAATAGTTGTAAGTATTTTTACATGAAATTCCCAGCATGTATCATGTCCACTGCAACTTGAGAAAAAGGGGGAAGTACCAAAGAACGTTGTTCACAACATTTTTTTTGTTCCCATTTCATTAGAATGATCTAGTGTATGTAGGCTGAATGTATTTTAAAGCAACTTTTATTCATGTGCAAAAAATTCCCCAACATTCTTTTTTTATTATGAATATTTTTTGCCGCAAACCAGCCCAGTACTAAATAAATTTTTCAGTCACAAGTTTGATAAATGTGTACTGTATTCTTGGATTGATTATAAACTGACATATCATAAATAAAAGTTGTTGCAAATAATATATGTGGTTGGTTTACAGTATTTTGACTCTCAGTAAGAAAATTTGTTTGGTGCATAAACTTGATAAAAATATAAATTTTACTCTTGTATTAGACACTTATTAATTCACCTCTATGTAATCAAATATCTCACATATTACTTATAATAACTTAAATTTACTTTTTTGATAGCCTCTGTATGCAAGCATCAAGGAAGCAGCTTGGCCTAAATCTGTAGATGACTGTGAGATGGACTATTTACCTGATGGAAGTGTCCGTTTATTGTCAACGGATGAATACGCTAGTCTAGTTCTCTCCCCTCACAAACAGGATTTCACTGTGTGTTACCTGTCCCAGATCAGCACTGAACCTAGAAAACCAAAGAGACACCACCACAAGATGCAAAGTCACAAGTCATCTTCTACAAACAACTCAGCTAAACATAGCAATGAAAACTTAGACTCTACATTAAGAGATAACATAGATAAAGTACCCTTAAGGCAGGAGGCAGGATTAAATCTCAGCACATCATTACACTCTGTCGGTCATATTGAGCAGGGAATTAATAATGGACATGAGAGTCCTCGACTTGATCAATCCGTGAGTAAACAGACTCAAAATGAACTCAATATCTCACCCATTAGCATGGCTAGCAGTATGAGAAGTCCACATACATCTCCAGAAGGCCAAGAGGAGAAAAATAAATTTCACCGTTACTCGACACCCACAAATCATATCACTGACCAGGAGAAGGGAGACGAAATAGAAATAGGGGGCAAAAAATCAGCATTCAGACATTATAGACATCAGCAAGACAATGGGACAGATGGATCATTCCTGGAAGTTATCGAATCTCAAAAAAAGTCTGAAAATAGTAAACCTCTAAATTTACAGTCAAGCATTAAACCACAAAGTAATTCAGGCCAACAAGAAAGATCTGCATCGTCTGGAAAGGAATCTCAATCAGAATCAAAAAGTTTTCACAAACATGCAGCACAGAGTTCAGGAAAACTGCAAGAGTTTTCATTCAAAACACCACCTCTGAGTCCTTCAAAGGAATCTACCCACAGTTCATTTAGTTCCCAGTCTGAACAAGACTCTTTGGATGAGACATCAGCTAGGTGCTTGTATACCTGGGTGACCAGGCATTTCTCCTGTGAAGAGTGCCCTGTGGCCTGGAGACATCCACTCAATATGGCAAGGTCAATAATAGAAAAGAGAGAAGATTATGAAAAGAAAATGTGTATGTATTACTTATAAAACTTACATTGTTAGAGCATTGGTAGATTAAAAAAAAAAATGAACTCTTAGTAATGCTGTGAAAATATATATGATACATGTATAATCGGATCATGCATTTCAAGACAGAAACTATGCACTTGTATTGATTTTGCAAGGTGCACAAATTAGACAGCACTTCACCTGAGTTGAAATTACTTTATTTGATTGAGTTCAAAATAACCTTTTATTTGACATCAGTGATCTTCAAGTAGAATTATGAATTATGCTTGTAATTGTATAACAATTTGTCTCCATACAGTAGAAGAAGGTGTAAAGAGGCAGAAAGCACCTGTCAACCAGCAGTACTGTAAAGATAAGTTCTGTATGTGTCCATTCCCCACCCCCACTCCCCTGACCTGTCCCGCCCAGCACCTCCACAGGTTACAGACAAACTACATCTATGATGATGATAAAAACAGTCTAGACAACTTGACCACATTTAAACAGGGACGGCTGAAAGTGTTAATGGTGGAAGGTGTCATATTTCGGTAAGACTGTGATGATGCTAACCAGCTTAAATATATCTGTCTTATTAACTTTGGAATGAAATTAATGAGGATTCAATTTTTGTGGATTTCTTAGGTACCCTTACCCACAAATTTACAATCTCAATGAATACTATTAATGAAATGTACGTAATATCTTTTGTAATAATGTTTGCCCACAAAATTATGTCCCTTAACTCGCAGTCCTCAAAGATTGATTCCCCCATCCCCCTCCGAAGGAAAGTAATTCTTCATTGTATTACATATTAAATTAATTTCAGGAAAACTGAAACAATAGAGAACTTCAGTGATGTGTTGCTGTAACTTTATTTTCGTTGTTTTCATTAAATTTTCTAACATACTGTATATCCTGATATATGTTCTTTAAACTAAAGCAATCTCTGTTATCTGTAGAATACTGAGACTGTCTTCTACCAAAGTCCTAGAGATTTTTCCAGGAGATGGAAGTGTAATTGTGTCACAGGGAGTCAAAGGTCACTATTACAAGCACAGCATTCCATATGGGGACAGGGTATATATTGATGTCATTTCCATCTTTAACAAACTTAACATTTATTTATTTTCAAAGATTGTATTGTATTGGATATGGGCTTCATATCTCCTATTTGTTAAGAATGATTGTAGATCTAGGCTTAGAGATTTTTATTTGTGATAAACAAGTTTCCATAATGCAGGGTGAGGTAGAAGAGAGAAGTTACTCCATTAAATCTTTACCCCCTCACACCCCCAGTGCAGCATACTCAGTGGAGAAGCTGATAAAGAGAGCGAGCAGGTTATATATTACATTTTATCATTTACACCTTGTTATGACACAAAGTCAGAATTCAAGACTTTCAATTTTGCCCTGTACTATTTTGTCGGTCATCAACATAAGGACACTTTTTTAACATTTAAAGCATTACTGGTATGCTTTTTGTCAGTGATGTGTTTTTTTTTTGCTTTGCTCCCTATTACTCACATTTTTGATTAATGACACAAAACATTTTCTGTTTGATAGGTTTCTAAATCAGGCAGACCAAGAAGACAAAGTTCTAACAAAAGCAGACGTCTGTTGCTGGAAGGTAAAGAATGACTGGAATATGATAATTATATAGTAATTAGAGTATGTCAAACAATAAATCTCTTGCTCTTTAGTGCTGTAATATTTGAATGCTTCAATAGATGAAGTATGAAGAAAGAGAAACACAGATTCAGTTTTCACATGAAATGTTTTTATGGGAATGACAGTAATTTATTGGAGACAACCACTTCCTTTACATTTTAGCAACAGTCCTTGGTGATTGAGCCCCTCCCCACCAGTGTCTTGGAGGAGTGCACAGTCCCTGGGTATGGTCGTTTTACTGCCTTTTCTAGTGGGCATGTCCGAATCGTGTTTAATGATCGTACCTCATTAGACATGTGGTGTGACTTTTCCAAGCGAGTAGAATGCTGTATACAACACAGTGATGGAATACACAACACACAAATGGTATGAAATAATGTACATGTATACTTTCAGAAAGATTTTTCCTATATATTTCCATGGAGCTGTTTAAACATCTTTGTCAGAGAAGAGAAAACATGCATGTACATGTATATGGAAATTTCTTTGATAAGAGTAAATTGAAGTTCATTGGTCACATCCATACATATCTCCATTTAGATAGAACCCACCTTCCCCAATCATGACCCCTGGGGATAGGATAAGGTCTCTTTTGGGAGGGGTCAGACTTCAACATGGGAATGTAAAGGGGGAAAATCTAAAAATCTTTTAAAGAAAGCAGGGCCATAAACAGTCAGATAAATAGTAAAGCAGCTTCCTGTAAGGTAGATTCAGATTTGCTCACATTATTGCCCCTTAAATAGGAAGGTTTCAATATGTTAACATCAAGCCTGTGTATTGGTATACTGTATGTGTACTTTAAAAAGCATGCTTCATATTTTGGCGGCTTTGGCACAGACAGTAATGCGCCAGTTCATGAATACTGTTAATAAATCATTGATAAACACAATATACGGGCGCAGACGGGTGTAGCTCCAATTCATGATTACACCATCCACTCTATACCCAGTGATTGTGCTAAATTTTGAATATGTCAGTTTATGTACATGTACAGTAATCTAAATTAAAATTGTTGAAATCGCAGTCTTTCATTTTGGAGACAACAATAGCAGGCCTTATTTATCTACATCTACCTATTCATTTTTCCATGGGCCTCTTGTTTTGATTTCATCTGTGAATTATAATTTCAAGGGTTCAATATATAAATTAAAAAAATTAAAACAATGAAGATTCACATATTTTACAATGGAAAAAAGACTATTGCGCCAGCCCGTGTATTATGTATCATTAATAACTTCATTTGGTTGATATTTTTTCTTCTAATATTTGAAAAATAATCTAATGGGATGATTTTTCTTCTTGTAAATTTATAAAATTAAATTTATGCTATTTAAAAATGCTTGGAAAAATAGTGGTAGCACGAGTGTCAAGTATCTGTGATTTCGTTTCAGTGTCAGAATGGAGAAGGAAGCATGCCCACAGCTCTGAAGGTTAACCCAGAGTTCCATGAAGGCTTCTGTAAGCTGTTGCTTCCTAATGGACAGTATCAAGTGGTGGATGTCAAAAAACCAGGGTTATACAGAAAGTAAGGAATCCAACATTTGCTTTAGTAGATACTCATGTACTGAGAAATTTCTGTTTGATAAAATGTCAGATTTTACATATACATGTACTTTGGTGTTACAGTGTACAGCTTCAGTTATGTTCATGACAATATTCTCATGATTTACCGATATCAATAATTTTCTGTAATAAATGCTTCATTGTTTTTAAAATACATACTATTGCTAAAAAAATTATGCCTTAACTGTCCATGAGAGCAGAATTTTTTTTGTATTCAGTAACTTGGTAGACAACATAATTTCTGTCGAAGGGGGGATGGGGATGTATATTGTAAAGTTACATAACACAGGAAGAAGATTTTATCTGACAGAATCTATAATTATCTCAGGTACACAGATGCAGCCATTGAATGGGGATCATGGGTAAACAGTCTTCCATCACAAAGAAAGGAGTTCTATTCCAGATGGCAACAACAGCAGTCCGAGGAACTGTAAGTACCCACTGAGGAACTATATCTACCTCACATACAACACAACTATAGTAGATTGAAACTGCAAATACCTTTCTCACAACAACAAATGCAGACTGAGAAACTGTAAGTACATAACAACAATAGCAGACCAAGGAACTGTAAGAACCCCGCAACAACTGCAGCAGACCAAGGAATTGTAAGTACCTCACAGAACAACAGACAGAGGAACTGTAAGTACCTCACACACAACAGCAGACCAAAGAACTGTAAGTACCTCACACACAATAGCAGACAGAGGAACTGGAAGTACTCCACAGACAACAACAACAGAAGACAGAGGAAATGTAAGTATCTCACTACACAACAACAATAGCACATTGAGGAAATGTGAGTACATGTACCTCACACACAACAATAGAAGACCAAGGAAATGTGAGTACATGTACCTCACACACAACAATAGCAGACCAAGGAAATGTGAGTACATGTACCTCACACACAACAATAGCAGACCAAGGAAATGTGAGTACCTCTCACACAATGTACATTGTACTACATTTACCAGTATAGAAAAATATGCTTATTACCACCAGGTAGGACACCAAAAAATGACTATTATGTGTCAGAATCCTGGGGTAAAATTTGCTTTTCCTTGAAAATGAATATCCTTCCACAACAATCAGTTATTCACCTTATAAACATAAATGAATGAGATTTACATGTATTGTGTTTATGAAGCTGTGAACATAAAACATGTGTGTTTTAGAAATAGTTACCTAAAAAAGGGTACAAATATTTAGAAAACTGTACACAATGTTATTGCTAATATTTTGCTTTTGTTGACAGTATGGTACAGAAGGAACTCCAGAAGATCAAATGTTTTAACTGTATCCTTAACAAACAAGTATTAAAATTGAATATTTTATACATGTGTCAATAAATGAATGTACATTTCTAATGATTTGTGTGTACCTGTAAATTTATTGCCTCTTTCTCATCATAATTACACCATACATGCAAAACAAAAAGTAATGAATTATCCCATGATAAAGTTGTCTTTTCCTGAAATACCACATAGATATTACAGACCACACAGCTACTCATGGTAAAGGAGGGGTAGCTAATGATGACTTTATAGACGGGTTTCATCAGATAAAAGGTCAAGGACATCAAAGTGCTAGTTATCTTCCTACAGAGTCTTGTCCTGTAAAACACACAAAGCCGAGAACTCGTTACAATGTCCATTTCTCTCCTCCTAGTGCTTCAAATTATCCAATCAGAACTCAGGAAAATAGTCACATGTCAACAAAAAGTCATGACAACAACCAGTCTGTGTTGCTTCCGAGCAGTTTAGAAATGATGCGTGGCTTTGATTCTGTGAGGGAGGCATTATTGAGGACTTCTAAAGCCATTCATGATATTGATGACATTTTGGAGAAAAGAAAAAAGTGACAATCTTTTTGACAGTTCAACCAAAATCATCAGAAATATGCAGCAATTTCTTAAACAAAACAGAAGCAAAGTATTATGTGAAAACTACAACAGAATAAGAGATCTGATGTATGGTATTATGTTCATACAATCCCCATAATCTACGCAAAGCAATCTATATCATGAATTCAAAAAAGTTTTTTATTTATCTTTTAACCAAACTTTTTTTAGGTGATCAAGCATTGAATGTTATGAAGAAATACTGGGTAGCTATTTTCATCCGTCCACTATGTAAATAACTAAATATGTAATTATGTAATTGATAATAAATAATATAAATTTATATATTTGTACATGTATATGATGAAGTGTGAAAAGTGCCAAAATAAACATTTAACATTCAACCTGCTCTTTTCTGCTTTATGTTAAAGAATTAGATTTCCTAGTACCAAATTTGTCAGATGAAAAAATCATCAAGATATATTGAGAATCTTTGTATGCAAATGGGAAAATTTAGTCAAGATCAAAATTAACCAACACAGCACTGGGAAGGGATGAGGTATTCTACCAAACGATAATATATTCCAGATTAATGACTATATTGAAGATTTTCAAACACGTCAGTTCAAAGGAAGTGAAAATTGATGGAGATGAGCTGTATAGTCTTAGATTACCTATGCTTTGTGGTTTATACAAAATTGTGACCCATTCATTGCATTTATAGTTAGCCTTTTAAAGGTCCATGGAGAACATTTACTATTCTCTAATATAATTAGTAATTCTGCAATCCCTATCCCAGTCCATTGTCTTTTTTCATTCTTAAGGGCGTTTCCTTCTATATTCACTATAAATATGCTACACTAATTAGATACTTATTGCTGATTCAGGCAATGAAGGCTCTTGACATTGCAAACTCAAGAGTTTGATAAGGTTATTGACTGAAAATCAAACAATGTGCCCTCCTTAAGTCTGTATGCCATGAAAATGGTCAGGGCATGTAATATTTGTCATGTCCATCATACATCCTTCTGTCCAGCATTTAGCTCAGTTTCACAGAAACATCTTAATCAAAATTCATAAACTGATACATAATGGTGAGAGGTATTCAATTGTGGCATTATTTTCTGATCATGACCTTTCCTGTGTCCTTGACCTCACTATTCCTTATTTTGTGTTAGCAGTGTCAACATAACTATTGAAGATATTTAAGAAATGAATTTAATTTTTAAAGATTCATGAGGACATGAACTACGACGCTTCACGCCGGCTTATTTCATGAAGCACGTTAGCGCTTCATGATAAATATGCCGGCGTGAAGCGTTGTAGTTCATGTACCTCACGAATCTTCAAAAATTAAATTCATTTCTTATATTTACATTATTTTTCTGATGAGTTGCCACAAATTATGCAATTCAAATGTCATTTTTAAAGCAAAACAGTTTGCACTATAGTTTTTACGTCAAGTACGGTATTATGACGTAACAATGGAGATATTCATGCTCATCCATGGTTGAACAGTCGTCTTATTTGCAAAGAATCTTAAGGAAAAATACTTGGAAATGTAAATATTTGTATCAAAACTCTTACATTGATACATATTTGTGGGAACAATTAAACTGTTTCATAATTTTTTGACCTTGACATTCCCTGACTGACCCCATTATTCCTTATTTTGCATTTAATTATTTTCAAACAAATAGTTCACACTATTACCGGTAATCATCAAACTGTATATAAAGATGCAAATTAATGAGAGCTATTTCAAATGTTTATATTTTTTAACCTTGACCTCCCTGTTACCTTAACCTCACTATCCCTTTTCTGTATTTAGCTCAGTTTAAAAGCACTTACTTAATATATTTTTATCAAAACTCTTACACTGGTACATATTAGTGGGAGTTATTCAACTGAGTCATAATTTTCTGACCTTGACCTTCCCTATGACCTTTGCATGTATGTTTCAAAGAAATTCTTTGAGATATTTTTTTTCAAACCTCATAGATACAAATTTGTGGTCTCAAAGCTTTCTTTCCTTCTTTCCATATGGCCTCATTATTAATTGTCTTGCATTCAGCACGGTTCAGAAGAAACTGATCATCAAATTTCAAACACGACTACAAATTAGTGGTAGCTAATCAACCGTTTCATAAATTTCTGACCTTGACTTCACACTTAATGAAACTTTTTACAAAGTTACGCATTGGTAAGAGCAGTCTAGCTCTACCTTTGACTTCCTTTACAACTTTGTCCTTCCCTTGACCTTTACTTTTGAAAACTTTTTATTAAACCATAAACCTAGATATTGGTAGAGCATTTTTTTTTCTTATTTTGACTTTTTCAATGACCTTGACCTCACCTAGCGACTCATTTATATTTGGTGAGTTATTAACTTACCTATCTGTATGTTTAATTTATTCATAATTGTGTTTTTTCATTTATATTCTAAAACTCCATTACTGCTGTCCAAAGAAAGAAGGATGGTTCATTTCTTTTTATGTTGTGATACAATTAACGTACTTTGAGTAGTACAATAATGTCCTATATATATTTCTAGTTTATAGTAACTATTTAAATTGGTTTGGAAAAGAAAGTACCGGTAAACACTAATCTACAGCTTACACTGAGCTCACAGTTAGCTAGACACATCAAGTCTATGGTACCATAGTTACTATACTTCCCATAATCAACAAAATAATACAAGGAAAGAAGACAAAAATTAAGTTTTTTATTTCTTTATTTGTGTCCAGATGAATCAACCAGTATATCTTAATATAAATTGACGCCATTTTGTAACAAAAAAAATGTTCAAAAAGTTTTAACTGCAAAGAAATTCTTTTTTAACAATCACAATTTGATAGAAATATCTATATTTTGTTGTACTGAATTTTGAATAATTGTTCAAGCTTAAAAAAATAGTGCACACTTAAAAAAAGTTTCTCATGTTCTGTGATATTTGGTAAAGATGAAAATAAATGAGTAATTCTGCTACTGAATATCTACTGACTATCTTGTAAGTTGATTATCCAAATCTGAGCATACATAATAATTCCATACTAATATAAAAAATGATTTATATAAAAAATATATATTTACAAAAAGCACTCTCTCATTCACTCAGTGATATTACATACTCTTGTGTAGAATATATTTACTTCCAAACCACGGAATGTAGTCGATTCCATACAAAATGGCACCCAATAAAATTATGTGTAATATTTACAAATAAACGTTACAAATTAATCATCACATGGAATTGTTGCTAAAGAGTCCATATCAAATCAATGGGTTAAGCCTATACATCATTAAATTGTGGATTATTTAAGTTTTTTTCTTTTATTGCTTACTTCTACTTTGGTTGCTAAAGCTACAACTAAGTGAAATTCATTGTGTAATTACATGTGTATAATACGGTGATTTACGGAATAAAATGCACAACCTTTCCCTGAATGAGGTGTTTTGGAGGAAGAATTTGCCAACATGAAAGGGACTTACTTCTGCATTCTTCAACTCCATAAAAAAGATATACAAAGACTACAGAGTTTTATATTACAAAGTTTATAAAGTGATATGTATTTGTACAAAGCTACATGCATATACATACTGCCAATTACACATATTTTCTCACTGATTAATACAAAAAGAAATGCCTCTAATTTTCATTCACACAGAATGGAAGATTTACACGAAATAATCTGAAAGACACACACACATAACATTCAACCATAGGATGACGAATGATCACTTTTGTTGTCTGGTGTGTTATAAAACCAGCTTAGAGATAACAATGGCTGCCATTAAGATGGAGGAGAGGGAGAAGGATGATGAAGAACTAGGTTTTACAGGGACACATGTATACTGATGGAGATTCTCAATCTTGTTGATGAAGGACTGACCCAAATAATTCCTGTAATTCTGCATATTCTTTTCCAGTTTCATTAACCGGACGGCATCATCAGTAAATATTAAATCATTGTACCAGGTACCAGAATCAAACAAGTGGAAATCTCCCTCACTGTAAAACAAAGATGGCATCATCAGTAAATATCAAATTATTGTACCAGGTACCAGAATCAAACAAGTGGAAATCTCCCTCACTGTAAAACAAAGATGGCATCATCAGTAAATATTAAATCATTGTACCAGGTACCAGAATCAAACAAGTGGAAATCTCCCTCATTGTAAATCAAAGATGGCATCATCAGTAAATATTAAATCTCTGTACCAGGTACCAGAATCAAACAAGTGGAAATCTCCCTCACTGTAAAACAAAGATGGCATCATCAGTAAATATTAAATCATTGTACCAGGTACCAGAATCAAACAAGTGGAAATCTCCCTCACTGTAAAACAAAGATGGCATCATCAGTAAATATTAAATCATTGTACCAGGTACCAGAATCAAACAAGTGGAAATCTCCCTCACTGTAAAACAAAGATGGCATCATCAGTAAATATTAAATTATTGTATCAGGTACCAGAATCAAACAAGTAGAAATCTCCCTCACTGTAAAACAAAGATGGCATCATGTATTAAATATTAAATCATTGTACCAGGTACCAGAATCAAACAAGTGGAAATCTCCCTCACTGTAAAACAAATTAATAGTTAAAATCAAACAATGTATGGTATGTTTGAGTTAAAAGAACAAAAATTAATGTCAATTTGAAGAGCCATCACAATAATATCGATTGTATAGTATATTAACTTACATGTCTGAGGAGAAGAACTGTTGACCATAATTCAGTAGATTCCAAAATATGGTTCTGTCCTGTTCACTCTTGTACTCTGAAAATCAAACAAATTCTTGATTAATATTATCTTCATAGATCTGAAAAAGATTAAATTTCAAACAAATATGATGTGCATGTATCTATTTGCTATAGAATGTTGCAATGAACAACATCTTATGAAATATATAATCATCTCTCCATGGAAAACAAGAAAGATGATAAATATTTTTATTAAAATTGACTACATGCAAGATCTACTAAATTCATTTCATGAAATTGTCAGTCATTGGTAAAGCTTACTGGCTGTGACGATAGCATTAGCAGGGATCTGGCCTAGATGACAATTTTCCCAATCATCAATGTTGGTTCTGCGGCCATCTTTACACATTAATTCGTAGTCATCTGATCTTCTATTCCTCGCCCAAATCGCCTGTCTCCTACCATCAGTGTTGTCTCGAACTGTCAGATGCCTCACAAACGCAATGTCTCCACCCTCTATCAAAATCAGTCTCAATGAGTTAATGAATTGATTTAATATATATATCACAGAGATATATCATAAACACATTTTTGAAAAAGACTTTTAGGAGTAAAATTTAGTTTATACATTAGATTGATTCAGTAAATAAATAAAAACCATTTGTCAATTCTTGGATAAATTAATCTGATGTTAGGTCATGTGTGATTCAATGGTAAATTTATAAAAATGTCAACTCATCAAAAAAATTATTATGTGTTACTCTATGTTGGTGGTTCAAGTTAATTTAAAATGAGCAACACAATGACCCTCAATAACTCACTTTCTACCAGACATCGGAATGACCCACTGGCTCCGTAGTACTGGTCCTCGCTGGTTCTCTGACACTTCCTGAAACCTCCCGCAGCGCACCCCTCACACAGACTGACTGGCTTCTGGTTAGGATTGTAGTCTTTGTCCATCGATCCAGGAATACAGGACCGAATAAATAGCTGGCCTGGAAGTAGTAACAGTAATCGTTACAGTAGTTAAAAGCTGTGTACAATAATTAGTGACCTGTAAATATACACTAATTATTGTTCAAGTTTGAAAAAAAGGTACATAAAGATATAAGTAGTACTTTGGATTTCACTGCATATCTACCATTCAATTTAATGCACCTAATACAAATTTTAGTGCCTTTTATTTATGTCCTTACTGGTTCTCTCTGCAACATCTAAGCCATAAGAATTTTACACAAGAGGCCCAAGGGCCTTAACGGTCACCTGAGTACAATACAACAATTTAGAGGATCCATAGAGTATTAATATGAAATGAAAGGTGAAGCTTTGTTGCCCAAAAGCAAGAAAAATAGGGTGATCAGGATCAACAAAATAATTAGTCTACTATTCATTAACAGTTCATAAATTAGGTTCTAATCTGTTCCCCATTTATCACTATCACCATACAGCATATTAACAAAATATCAGTACTTTTGTACTATTTTAATTCCTTGTTGTTATCTCTTACATTGGCCTCTCTTGGTCTTTGATGAACATTTAAGTTATTTTTGTCTCATTTTTATTTATCTATTACTTACAAGTCCACATGATCATTAAAACTAAGAAAATACTTTTTGTATTATACAATAAAAATTCTTGCATAATTCTCTTATTCTATTAATTTTTCAAGTACATTATTTACAGTGATTAATTATCAAAAGTAAACGGCAAAGGGGAATAACTCCTCTCAGTAGAATGCAAATTAATTGAGCCCTGGCTAGGACCAGAACACTTGACCAAATGATCAAGATGTTCAAAAATCTGGTAAAAATACCCTTCCTTATTACAACTTTTACACTTTTTGCCTCTGATATGCCCAAGTGCAGAGAAGATTTTTAAAGAAATAATGCATTTTCACTACAGATTCACTATATTATCAATAGAGCCCTTCCCTCCCCCCCCCTCCCCTTCACCACCGAGAAACACCAGAGCCTCTCACCCTGGGACCAGAAGTTTCAAGTTTGCTCACCATAAGTAATCACTTTGTTTAACTGCTTAACATTAAGGAGCAGACAGGATTATTTAATAGAATTAATGCATTTTCACTACATTATCAACAGCCCCACCCTTATACCAGCACATCTGACCCAGGGGTCATGCAATTCATTACTCTGGAAGAAGCACTCTTGCTCATCATAACTATATACTTAGCTTCTTTGCTTTTTAACCAGAAGCAGAAAAGAATATTTTCAAAGAAATTTTGATTTTTCACTATATAATCAATAGAGCCCCCCCCCCCCCCCCACCTTTTGACCAGAACCCTTGACCCTGGGGCCATGAAATTCACAATTTTAGAAGAGGCATCCTTGCGTATCATAACAATGTACTTAGTTTGTTTAAATAGTACCCAGGGGCAGAGAAGAAGATTTTCAAAGAAATAATTCACCTTCACTGTAGGAGCTATATAGCCCCACCCTAGCACCAGAACCCCTGTCCCTGGGGCCATGAATTTCACAATTTTGGAAGAGGTGTCCTTGCTTATCATAACAATGTACTTAGTTTGTTTAAATAATACCCAGAAGCAGAGAAGAAGATTTTTAAAGCATTAATGCATTTTCACTATATAATAAATAGAGCCCCGCCCTTACATCAGAACCCCTGACCCAGGGGCCATGAAATTCACAATTTTGGTAGAGTCACTCTTGCTTATCATAACTATGTATTTCATTTGTTTAAATAATACCCAGGAGTAGAGAAGAAGATTTTCAAAGAAATAATGCACTTTCACTATATGATCTATATAGCCCCCCCCCCCCTTCAGCACCAGAACCCCTTACCCTGGGGCTATGAATTTCACAATTTTGGTAGAGTCACTCTTGCTTATCATAACTATGTATTTCATTTGTTTCAATAATACCAAGGAGTAGAGAAGAAGATTTCTAAAGAAATAATGCACTTTCACTATATGATCTATATACCCCCCCCCCCCCAGCACCAGAACCTCTGACCCTGGGGCCATGAATTTCACAATTTTGGTAGAGTCACCCTTGCTGATCATAACTCTGTATCTAGTTTGTTTAAATAATACCCAGGAGTAGAGAAGAAGATTTTCAAAGAAATAATGCACTTTCACTATACGATCTATATAGCCCCACCCTAGCAGCAGAACCCCTGACCCTGGGGCCATGAATTTCACAATTTTGGTAGAGTCACCCTTGCTTATCATAACTATGTATTCAATTTGTTTCAATAATACCCAGGAGTAGAGAAGAAGATTTTCAAAGAAATAATGCACTTTCACTATATGATCTATATAGCCCCGCCCTAGCACCAGAACCCCTGACCCTGGGGCCATGAATTTCGCAATTTTGGTAGAGGGCTCAATGCTTATTACAATCATGTCAACAGTTTGACTGCTTGATGTCCAGGAGTAAAGAAGAAGATTTTTAAAGATTGCATTAATTTTGATGGTTTTAGCCCCACCCCTCAGGCCCCAGGGGGGCAGGGACCATGAAATTCACAAATTTTGTTCCCCTTCATACATAGATGCCATATCCAAAAATTGGCTGAAATTGGTTCAGCGGTTTCAGAGAAGAAGCTGAAAATGTTCAAATGTTAACACACGACGGACGACGCCGGACAAAAACAGATAGCAATAGGTCACCTGAGTGACTCAGGTGACCTAAAAATATAATGGAACCCATATTAGACTTTTATGGAAGATTCACATTTCAGGGTCAAAAGATCCTGAGGAAAATCCTTTCAATGACCCACCCTTTCTCCTCATTATTTTTCATAAAGAATCATTTCAAAATATTGTAAGACTTCTAAGAACTTTTAATCATAAAATGTAAGATCAAAATTTCACAATTACCCATATTTTCAAAAAGTGTGCAATGTTGGGGGATGAACTGTTCTGTTTCTATAAATATATTCATTGGGATGATCCAGCCATCTCCTCGTCCAATCCCTGGCAGACAAGCTCTCTTTTCTGAAAAAAAAAGTTTATCACATTCACAATTAGCTCAAACTTTTAATAAGTTAAAGTAAGAAGAATTCAAAATTAAGAAAATGAGTGCTACACTGATACCAATTTTACCATTAAGATTCTTTGAGAAGCAGCCATTAACTTACTTTTGAGATTAAACAATGTCATATAATGGTCTCTCTTTCTGGCAACAGCAACCACATGGACAGAGGCATTCATGTTACCGTAATCTTCCACAATAAATGGTTCCAAACCATATTTCCTATACAAACCAAGATTGAACTGTGATAATCAATGTTTATTAAAAAATCCTTTGATTTTCTAACATTGTTTTCAAACAAAGGCACTCTACTTCCTTTAAGATTAACCAATCCACCCCCCCTCACCCCCCCCCCCAACTCCGCCCTCTATTTAAAAGGATTCAAATCCAGATCTGGGTCCTGTTTTACAAAAGAACTTACGACTAAGTCCAAAATGTAATATTGCAAATAACTTATAATTTACATTTAATTGGAAATAGTTTTTATCTTTTTAAAAAGAATTTTGAAAGATAATTTTATAAAGCAATTTTTCAACAGAATCATTCATTTTACAAGATTTTACAATCAGCTACATTTTTTGGTCTTAGTCTTAAGTTCTTTTGTAAAAGGGGCCCCCGGACCTATCCTATGTTACCAGTCAGATATCAAAAATTAATTTTTTGTTATCTCTTTCAAGTTATTCTCATTACAGAAAGACAGTTAGATAAACTGAACAAGAACATAATCTGACCACTGGCTTTTTAATAAAGCAATAGCTTTGTGTTGCTTCTAATTTTTAAATCTTTGTCTACTAATTTGTTTCTTCAAGTGTCACAAAGATTTAGCAATTGACTTTTTTTTGCACATAATTTTGAATATGAATTATATCAAGCCTTGAGAGAGTCCATTTTGAACTTACTTTCCAGCCAAGTACACATCCCCAGGATCCAGCACCATCATGTCGGCATCACCTCTGGAAATAAGCCTCATACAATGGTCAGTCCCCGAACCCTTGATACAGTCCAAGCTGGGTCGTAAATCCTTAGCATTAAAGGCCATCATCATGGTCTCACACTTAGCCTTCTCTTGTTTAGAGATTACACACAGTCTGGCAGCCAGTAGAGGGCAGGTGTTCAGGTTCTCCATAATGTCATAAAACCCAGTATCTACGCAAAAATGAAAAGACGCAGGATAAGAAATTAAGATTTCTCATTCTTATAAGATTAAAGCATACAATAAAAAGCATCTAATAGATATACAATAGATCTTAGATCCACTAAAAACGTTTATATTCATGCAGTATAAATTGTTAAGATATTTATACTCCCCACCCTTTATATAAAGATTAGATAAGCTGTATCTAAAGTCAGTATGTTTTTAAAAAAGACCAGCTCTTATCATTTACGTATATAAGCATTTTTCTGACATAAATGTAACAGATATTTATAGTAATTTTACATGTGCATAATATTAGTGCACACAATACTTAACATAAACCCAGGTCAGAAACTATCTGAGGCATAATAAATTAGAGTTCTGACTATTTTGATGTTATATTTTTACATGAAATTATAGTTAAGCTATATTCATAGGTACACATATGGTTGTGCTTAGTTACTATAGCATGAATCCCTTCTTATGAAATAAGTATACAAAGAGTACTTTAAATATATTCAAACAATAAAGTTTAATCAGCTTTGCTGCTGTACTCACCAACCCAGCTATAGTAAGTGTTTTTATCTTCTACATCAACCAAAGCCTGAGTACTGTCTGTGAAGAGGAGATTTCTCCTCTGTAAATACGCCCAGTCCTGGGAATCAAACATTTTAAATTCGCCACTGTAAATTCCGGTTGGGCCAAACCACTTAGCAGCCTGAACCAGGAAGGTTTTATAAACCTCCACCTCTTTTTTTGATTTCAGGGATGATGTCATCAGAGTGTTGGAAACAATTTTTCCATAGTTACAGTTCAAATACTCTGTCACAGGCATTCTCATACCATTCGGACATAGCAATTCATAATTCTGAAATATTAACAAGTATAAAATCTATATCATTGAAGAAATTTATGTCAAAGAACATAGCATGATGTTCAACATCAAAAGCACATTATCAAAGTGACATATATGCACACAGCATTACAGATGATGAGCATGTGTCTTTAAACAAGTTATTTCACCTTCTTGATTTTTTTTCTTCAATGTCATGATGATTTATAAGCAAGTTTTCCAATCTTTGTAAATATCTCTCATTGGTAGGAATATTGGCACAAAGAGTCAAGAGAGTATATGTAGAAAGTGGGAGTTTCAAGAAAAATACATAAGTTTAAAATCGTTGAATGATTTCTAATTAGCACATCCAGGGACCAACCTAGATCCAAAATTTAGGGAGACTCCACTTCTCCCTCAGAGAAATGTAGGGAGAAGTTTTGAATTCTAGGGAGACTTCTTGGCGCGCGTGGCGCACATTGATCATTATTAAACTTTTTTTTTAAAGAAAAAATTTCATTGTTTGTTACTTAAATACATGTCAATAATTTTTTTCTGTATTATTTAAACATCCTAATAAAAATAATTAAAAAAGAGAAAAAAGATTCTTAAAAAAAAAACTTTTATATTTTTCCAATTACAAGGAATATAAATATCTAGCAAAATATATAAAACAATGACAATGTAAAAGTTTCTAATTGATAAACTTGTTTATCAAACTTTTTTTTCATTTCTTGCATAGTATGCACAAAACTTTTAAGTGATTCATACGTTTTTCTCTCCACTCAGGGTTAGATTTTCAGGCTCTTGGCATAGTCATAATTTTGTTATTTTCTCTTGAAAATTCGTTTTCAATATTAAATTCTTTTTCCAAAAAAAAACAGTTTTTATGCACAACTGCATGCCGATTGAACTACTTCTGTTTATCAGACGTGTAATTTCTTAGACACTTAATAACTCCACAATTTAACAGTAAAAATATGTCTGTATTCACAGCATGTATTAATTATTTGACAATAAAAGATCTAAAATCATCTCAAACATCTTTGGCATGACATTGATAGCTGTCCAGCTGTTTTGCGTCTTGTTGTGTATATCTTGTAACAATGGACTTTTTCATACACGGAAGCATAAAATCTAGAGGAGTTCCGACAGAGTATTCGATGCATTGGTCATTAGTAGCAAAGCAGGTGGAAGTGTCCTGCTGTTTCCCTTATTTCAGCAGTAATAAACCAGATTAATTAAATTAGTAATGATACTACCACGTTTCTTAATAGATTTTTTATGATTTTCAATAAAGGGGTTGCAAATGTTAAGGCGACTTAAACTTCTCTTTCGTGATAAATTACGGCGAAGTTTGGAGCTCAAAAGCGACTATTTCGCCTCAGTCGCCCCCTAGGTTGGTCCTTGCACATCAAAATGCTCACCTCTGGTCTGTTGGTGGAGTTAAGGGACATCTGTTGGACTGTGTCATGGCGTAGGAAGGCTACGTCCCCAGCATCAGATGACATACAATTAAAGGCTCCATCATATCCAGCGTAAGGATCATCTGTCGTACATTTCTTCTCCAAATTCCCTCGACATAACTCACAAATGCGGGCTGGGTTATTTCCTTTTTCAAAAATTAAATATAATAATTTTATCAATTTATCGATATCCCTTTTTGTCCTAAAATTACATCTTCAAAACTTTTTGTAATTAAATCATTTTAAAATTCTTATATAACTATAAATAATAACGTTAATGTAATACATTGTCATAAATTATGAAACTTTGGATTTTCAAATACCTTTTTAAAAAAAACACAACTTTCTTTAAAATTCAGCAGGTGCCTCCTGTCTCCTCTTAACTATACTCACCGAATGGATTGTAGAATGATGTTAAAGCTCCTGGCAAACACATGGACATGAAAAAGTCAGTTGCAGTTTTGACGATGGCATTACATTCAGTAACCTGCATTATGTTAGTGTTTCCATTTTTCTTCACAAATGTTCCGATTGGATAGAGCCATCCTGCAGCTGTTCCAACTCCTACAAAATTCAACAAAAATTTACACTTCAATATTATAATACTGTAAACCAACTTTTATTTGTGACATCTTTTATTTGTGATTCATCTATCTTAGTCCATCCACGACTATTAACTTTGAAGGATGAGGGAAACATTCTATAACATAATTACACATTAAGTAATGGTTTGCAGACAGATATATTTATGAGCAGAAGAGGGTGGTAAAACTCACAGATATTTCTCGTACATGAATAAAACTTTGTTTACAGTATGCAAAATTCTCTTTTAGAATTAGAAATTACTAAGCTATACTATATCATTTTTTTTCCACAGATATATTGCGCAGCACAGTTAAGGCTACAATAAGGAGGCAGGGCCTAATTTTTACGGGAAATGCTTACTATGACATCACACAAAAATATATGTTCTTCAAATTACCACAAAATGAAATGATCTGCTATTTTAAACTGTTGGGTAGCTTTTAAAACTACATCAACACTAACTATTGCATGTATTTTTGTCGTTGGTTAAATCCCACACAGCAATATAAAAACAATTCACTGATCGCAATTCACTTATCAATGTGACGTCATATCGTAAAATTTGACGCAGTTTGTGTGCAGTGAGAGGAGGATCAAGTTCTATTTTATACAATGAAAAATGTATTTTGTAATTAAATAAAATATTATTTGCAGATATATAAGAGGCCATTTACTTGGATGCGATATCTATTTTATGACTGTATTCATATATACTTCCTGTACATTCCCTAGACAAGCAATACTGACGTATATTTGTATGTAGATTCATTGAAGGGTAATAGAAGGGTCGTAATAAATCGATATATTGCAAGGGCATACCCTCAATGAATTATGACAAGCTTTCACACATGGACTCAAGAGGTATGAAGATATTTGAAAAGTGCTGCGAACCTGATGAAATCTTGCAAATGAATTAATTATATCTTTATTTAATGTACTTGACCAGCAAAATATTCGACATACGGTCTAACAAATGTAATTTTAGCAATAAGATAGTAGAATTTATATAGGTTCACATCACTTTTCACAAACTACAGAGTGTTGAAAATAATTATAAATTAAACTTAGATTTTTAACTTGGTTATGCCCTTGCAATATTGGAATTTATAGATGACCTCAATACTGCAGGTATATTTCCTAAAATCATGTGACTGCCACATTACGTCACAAGTCTAAATAAGAAATCTAATTGTCCTCAACATGTAGTTTTCAACCACATCACATTTGTCCAATAATAGTAAAGTCCTAAAAAGAATCGCCCATTCTTGTTAAGAATGTATTTTCTAAGTAAAAAATTTGCCGATATTTCCATTTAGCACCTTAACTGTACTGCGTGATGAATATTGAATTGATGACTGTTTTGTGCTAGAAAGAATGTACAAGTTATAATTAACCTACACATATTTATCCCTGATATATATGTAGGATACACACCTGGAAAGCAGGCTCTTTTATCTCGAAGTTGAAACACATTAAACTGTGATCCTCGCTTGGCGACTGCCACAGAGTAGTAATACATTCCACCATCAGCATCTGAAAAAACCATACATCATAAATAAAATAAAAAGCTGCAAACACAGAAGAAGTTTCATAAATACAAATCTTTTTGTCCTTTTAAAATCTAAGTTGCATCAGTTTTTACCTGTCCCACTGATGTCATATTTTTCAGCTAAGATGGGCATCATGTTGTAGTATCGACCTCCAAAGTAAGCCTGACCTGTGTCTAAAGCCATGATGTCTGCGTTATCATCCTGAATGTTCTTCATACAATCATACCTTCAATTATACCACACAGATCTCAGTTAAGAGTACAAAAAAAATTAGAGGACTCAAGAATATGTCGGCAAAGCAACATAAAATACTTTATTTTTAAATTAATGAGAACCAGTAACGGTCAGATTAGAACTTTCAACATTTACAGTAATTATTTAGTGAATCAAGACAATTTTACTTCAATACTTGATAAATTTTTAAACCAATAATTCACAAATTCAAATGACATTTACATATCTGTTCCCTGGATGCACTCTACAAGGGGAATAACTCTAAACTTTTCCACTTGTCTTCTGACCAAATCAGCAGCCACTCTCTGCAGTTTCTGACATTTTTCTTGTTCTCCCCTTGATATTGTACACCAGCGCAAGTCTATTTAATTGAATATTATCAATATTAAAAAAAATTATAATAAAAGAACTATAATAATACCCTCAGCCCTTTTCCCAAAAAAAAAGTGCAAACAAAATTATATAATTATGGATACATATAGCTGTATGCATTAGATCAAAGCTAGAATCTGAATTCATAGAATAAAACTACTTCAAACTCTATTTATTACTTAAGCTAATTGCTTATTTCTTTTTTTATTAATAGGACCCTGTTACTGATAACATGAATTTTTAGGAAACATTGCTAAAAAATGTTCCTATCCATTTAATTATCAAAACACTTGGGAAGTATTAAAGTCATGCATTCATAGTACAGTTTAGCCTCATTAATCAAGGTGCTTGTGTTCCCAATCCAGAAGATTAACCAGGCTTCACCTGTTCACTGTACATTCCAATAACAATCATCTACTACAACAAAATATAAAATGTATTTTTAAAAATCCCCATGGAAAATAACACAATACAGATTCATATATGGTGAAAATAAAATCCTTTCCAAAAAAAAAAAAAAAAAAATTAAGGGGGAAAACTTTTCAATGGCATAAGGGAAAAATAATTGCAAGATGTTAAAATTTGCAATATCAGCACACGCTGTAAATTATGGAAGACAACCTCATAAGGGTGAATTATGTCATTATTCAATCAGGCAATGTGTATATATTTCTCGTTTCGATGTTCAAATGAGTCAACAACATCAACAGATGGGATTTGAATCTCAGGTGAAAGGTTGTGGAGAGAAAAGAAAGAACACCAAGAATCTACAATCTCACCTGTCGCTAATCCGCAGGTAGTTAAAAGAGAATTTCAAGATTAATATATGTAGAAAAAAAGAAAAATATGCAAAGCGCTATAATTAAGACAATCTGATAATATATATATCAAGATGACCAACACAAACTCCACTCTAATTTAAAATGATTCATTTCCGGATTCGTAGTTTACACCTGTAATTATTTAGTATTACGATAGGAAAGTATAAACGAAATTAACTTACATTGTGTTTGGGCGTCGTTGAATGTTAAAAAACTTAGAAAATATAATAAAAATAAATAGATGGAAATGTCCATCATGTTTTTGATCTCTCGAATTCTTCTTCTTTTTCTTACGCCATTCCAAACTTGTCCACTTCCGGTTACCTGTACGCGCACCTGTTCTGCGACAAACATAGTGCCCGATTTCATTAAGTATTAGTCAATTAAATATGATACTCAGCAATATGCCTATTATTATTTAATTATTTTCATTTAATTTGAAATGAGATTCACGCAGTATGTTTAATGAATATAATTAAAAAAGGAATACAATTCTTTAAACGAAAACAATGACGTATGAATACAAGGAATTTGTCATTCGATGAGTCATATACAGTTAAATCTAGTAGCGCGAAAAATTAAAACTTCATTTCACACTAAATGAACATATCAAAATAATAAAAATTGATAAATAGTTTAAAAAAGCACAGTATTCTTTAAATTTATAATACCTTAATAAATATCAGCTAGGTTACTGTACATAAGAAGAACTAGTAATTAATATGTTCACCTCTAGGGTGTTAAAGGCTCAGTAGGTCTAGTATATCACAGATTCTCGCTTAGAGGTTTGCATTCCTCTGACACATTATATCCCTTAATTCCAATATATTTGCACATGATGAACCCAAGAACCTGTTTTAACCTCAAAACTGTATAAAAGAGCATGCCCAGATTTGAAGTTTGACCAGATTCAAAGGTGCCTCGTTTAAAAAAAAAAATCACCAAACTGACAAAATAATCAAAGGGTTTATACAGGGTGTTTCACAATATATGTCAGACATCTAAAGGCAGAAAGAAAAATTACAACAAAAGCTACATATACATTTAATATATCCTTTTAATCAGCAGATATTCAAAATTATAATTTTAAGTCAAAAGTATCCAATATTCTCCTAGATGTGTGACATATATTATGAAACACCCTGTACTTTACTGTTTTAAACTTTTTTATTTATTTTGTTTTGTAAAATAATAAGGCCTTATTTTGGAAATAAAAAGGGGGAGAGGAGTGACCTCCATCCCCTCAGAACTTAAAACATTAATCATTAATTGGTATTCCAATTTTTAAATTTCATAAGCTGAAAGAAAAATAATTAAAATATAATCAACATTTATATTTATATTTTGAAAATATAATCAACATTTATATTTGTAGTCAATTTTAATGAAGATTTTTTTTTAAAATTTCAATAATATTTGAAAATCTGTGTGAATTAATATTTTACTATAAAAGACAATTAAACAACACCAAAGGTAGGGTTAAATTTTGGGGCTTTCCATCCAACTATTAGTGGAAAAGTTACGTCACAGTTTGGATGTGCTTGTCAGAAATAAGATTATCTATAGTTATATTTACTAAATTTATTAAGATTTTACATTCGATGATAATAATTTTTTTTCATTAATCTTGTTCGATAAAACAAAAATTTATAAATTAAATTCTGCATAGTATCACTATTGCTTGGAATGTCAATCTAACTCAGAATGGTTCTCTGGTTCAGAATGGCACTCTTGCTCAGAATGGTTCTAAACCCTCTGTCATAGACTGTTCACTTGTGGTGCATTATGGGGAATAGTTGCATGGTGCAAGTGCTTTCCCAGTGACCCTTCTGGTCCTCCCTACTTGTCTACACACTTCTAGGATCTACATGTACTGAATGTTCTCAAATACACATGTTAATTATGCACATGCAAATTTGTTTCATATACTTAATTTGCATATTTTGCAATACATACTTTACTTATACTTCATAATTACTATCCATACTTTAGACATGGCCATTTACATATACATAGAATTCATTTAACAAATATTCTATCTTACTACCATACAAAAACTTACTTACCACAATGCTAATGCTTCGTTATAACTACATGTACTTGAATACTTTGAGTACATTAAACATACAATTTAACAATGTGCTTATGAAGGAACTGGGCAGAATTTGCAACTGAACCGATAAAAAGATTCAAATTTAACTTTCAAATAGTTATCAAAATAAAATACTCTTACCTCTGAAATAATATAGAATTGGAAATGAGTGAATATAGGACAGGACAACACATTCTTCTCTGGTGCCTCCTATGCCCAAACTGACCAGCATGAGTATTTACAGTAAATCTTATTCATGGGGACCAATATTCATGTATTTCATGTCTCCCCCTTACCCACAAATTTACGTCCCCATGAAAATTAACTTCATAAGTATATTGGTTCAATAAATTTGTTGTATTATAACATGTATAAGTTTACTATGAAATTACATTTCCAAGAAATGGGAAAAGATTTGTTGCGTTTGAACATTGACCCCCATGAATTAACTCCTTGTTTTCCTCCATATCTCAGGAAGTCAAAATCAAACCAACTCAAAGGTTTATTAGGTATTAAAAAAAAGGACATTATTATGCCCAAAGCAAATTTTTGTTTATGAATCTATCATGTATTCCATCCTTTCTGTGTAAAAGATAATTTTTATACACAAGTAATACAAAACAAAAAGGTTATAATATTCATTGAATCTTAAAACATGTTTGACATACACTGTAAACTATATATAAAGTCTTAATTCTGCAGAATTACAATATTTGTTCACTTGTTGGGTAAAAATTGCACCAGTATCTTGGACTGCCCACCTATTTCTTAAATGTACTTTAAATAAGCTGCGACAAATTTCAGCGGAATTTGTGACCCCATACATAGCGTAAATTCCATGCGGAAAAAAGTATGTGTCAAGATCTGGTAAATCAAAGTTATGTTTCCCAGACCTAATTCAATTTTTTAACCTATGTACAGATAGTTAGGAATGGAAATAATTTTTGACCAAAATTAAAATAAATGTAAAAGCATATTTCACTTCAAAATACTATACCTAAACATTGAAGAAAAAAAATATCCAATTTAAAGAACAGATTCTGTTCATGAGCTATAGCCTTTTTATTTCAAATGACAAGAGGGAAAATGAAATTTAATGCCTATAGTATAATAGGCAAAATGTGCTGAATATTGTAATACAGTTTGTATTGTTTTTTAATTTTTTTTACTGTGTTTTTGACATAACTGAACATTGTGTAATTAAATCATTAACTATCAAACTTCAAAAGTACATTTTGTGTCATTTTTTCAAAATAATTCTTGAAATTCTACATCCACAACAGAACAGAAACATAGAAATCATCTTGAAATGCTGAAAGAGGTCCTAATGAACATGGGTCAGTCACATTTATCTCCCTTTGCAAATCACTTCTATCAGCTGATGTTTCTTCTCTACTCTCCTTTAAGCACTGATTCCAACTCTCCAGAATCTTTTAGTTCCTTGTTTTAAAAAAGAATTCTCTAATTAAATTAGGATAAAAAAGACTAGTAATGTACAGTCAAATAAAAATAGTGTCCAATCATTGAAAGTCATAAAACAGTCCAATGTCTTCTGATGAACATTTGAACACATGTCTAACTGATCGATATTCACCTTGACAATATCTAATCCACCAATCAGCTCCCCTTTAACATAAAGCTGTGGGTAAGTTGGCCAATTTGAATAGGTCTTTAATCCTTGTCTAACTTCTTCATCAGTCAGAATATCAAATGTGTCGTACTTCAGTCTGAAAATTATTATGGATAATTCAAGGAATACTTGTAACTATAAACATTTTACAAAATTAAATGATTTATTTTATTTTGATGCATGGATTAATTTTTTTCAAAGAGAGCTAGATAATTTTACCCAATAGCATTTTTCTTTTTTTCACCCATGCTTTATTCTTACCCTGTTTCAGATAAAACACTCGTAATCTGTTTACTGAAACCACAACGAGGGGTATCAGGATCTCCCTTCATGAATAACATCACATCAGATTTGTTGATGAGTGCTTTCAATCTGAAGAGGGAGAAAACAGCATGCATAAAAACAAGGAAATGTGTATTTATTTATTGAAAAGTGACATGCAGTGTTGTTCTACATCAATACAAGTTTTTTAACCTATAAGGAAATTGATATTCTTGCACATCGAGTTTTTTTCTGTTTTGACATAACGTATAACGGGAATTTTCTGCGGTTGGAAATTTGTGCGATTTAACCCCTAAAAGGTAGCAAATTAATTTCTGCGTTTTCAATTTCTGCGGTTGCATTATACCGCAAAAATTTATTTACGGGGTATGATCAGTAAACTTTATGAATTATCAGAACCCTGTAAGACATATTGATCAAAGGAGCATGAGAACTGGTATTAAGCTTAATTAGACTACTATCTTTTAATTAGTCTTTGTAAAACTATGTCGAGTCCCAACTGAAATAAATAAATGCAGTATCAGTCCCCCCCCCCCCAAACAACAATAAAAATCTTTATTCTAACAGACGTCTTATGCGATCTATTAAAATATCTAAATATATAGATAATGATAATAAATGCATCCAAGCCATATTCTAAAAAACACTTCTAGTTAATTACCATCAAAATTTATTTGGTGTTTGTATTTTAAGCTAAAACAAACAGTTGCATAATTTAGTATCCTAAAGTTGACGGTTAACAATCACAGGTACCATGTGCATCGAGGCGTAACTAATCCTGTCAGTCGTCTGCATTGGGTGAAGTTTACGAGACAATCAAGCCGCATTGTGTATACAAGCGGTTATTATTGTCTCAAGATCAAACACAAGATTGAAAAAAGTGTTTTAAAAAAGCTACCATGTGTTGTTTACAGCTATCGGAGTTTGGATTAATAATTGCGAAATACAGTGTAGGTACAAGAAAAGATACTTATTTAGTTGATATTATTTACAGGAAGATTTCGACTCAATATATTTTGAAGAAATCCCGACATCTAAAATCTAATTTCGATGACACCCGAATTTTTTAAAAACCTTGCGTTCCAGATATTTTTTTCTGCGTCCGGAACACAGGTTCTTGCGTTAATGAGAATCCTGTCAGACAAACGCACCACTTATCATAATTGCATGTATAAAATATCTGAATAAATATTGAAAAATATTTTGCGATTGTAATTTTTGCGGATTTGTCCTATCCGCAAAAATTGGACAACGGCAGAAAATACCCGTTATACGGTATGACTAAGACATTGTACAAAGATCAATATACATATAGCTCGGAGTTGATACATATACATGTACTAATACATTGTACAAAGATTAATATATGAGTTGATTCTAAGACATTGTATGAAGATTGATGTAAGAGTTGACCTTTACTTTCTTTGGTAATTTTAGCACCACCCCACAGGCCCCAGGGGGGCAGGGACCATAAAATTCAAAATTTTTGTTCCCCTTCACCCATAGATGCTATATGCCAAAATTCTGCTTAAAATACCCAGTGTAATGTAATATAAATAATGTCACCTGTCTTCTAGACTTGTCTGTTTAGGAAGCTGTGACTCAAGTTCTCCAGATTCTATCAGTTCTTTCACTATGTCCAGACCTCCGACTAGTTCACCATTTGCATAGAGCTGTGGATATGTTGGCCAGTTAGAATATGTCTTCAAACCTGAAAGTTACACAACAAAAAATTATCCTTTTATATATTGAAATAAAAAATTACCCAGACAATATGGATTAAACCAATTGCTTATAGTTAAAAATACATTAGAAAAATTCTAGAAATTTTATAGACTCCCTGATAAAGAGATATACCGGGTATATAGGTATTAAGTGTGGTAAAGTTGGAATCTGTACCTTGTCTGACCTCTTCATCTTGTAGAATGTCAAAGGAGCTGAACCTGATTCCCCTCTCCTTTAGAAGTTGTGTTATTTGTCGACTGAAGCCTTTAGTAAGACAATACACAACATTACATAAGCAATTTTAAATTACACATACACATATATTGCTAGAGGAGTATCTCAAGAAATGCTGTGATAGACCTATGACCATCATTACTTGGTATATCAAGTTATCACCTTAATTTGACATATAATGTTTGTGTGTGTGTGTGTGTGGGGGGGGGTGATAACAGTCAACAGAACAACAGGTATAAAATCTGAATATTACTGACCGCATCTTGGAGTATCAGGGTCTCCTTTCATAAAGAGCATGACTGGAGCAGAATTGATCAAATTTTTTAATCTGGTGTTTAAGTCCTAGAAAAAAAAAGAACAATGCAATGATTCAAAATATCTTTTACATAATGAACTTGCACTATTAATTCTAAATGTGACATAGTACTACCATTGTGCATAGATTTTAGTACTTCATTGCAACAGTACATATAACAATTTTGATTTCTGTTTTAAATACTGGTCTATTATTATGGTACCAACCACCTTTAAACTGCTTCCATCATAATTTACATAAAATGTTTTTGTTTTAAAAGTAAAACAGTGTACAATTTTGCTGGGTTTTTTTGTTTGTTTGTTTGTTTTTTTTTTATTATGTTCTGTAAGTTAAGAGTATGGTCCAACTACTTTAGGAAATGACTTTCTCAAATAAATTATCATTAATTTCACAATGTACTCTGGGATATCATAATTTATATGACCATCTTGGTCATCACAGAATTCATTAATTCATTTTTGAAGGACTTTGAACTCCTCAGGTATAGAATTTTAAAAAAGTGAAAATCCAATCTTTATCTAATAAATGGAAGCCATAGGCAAAATATTTTATCTACCCCCCCCCCCCCCCAATTTTCTCCTCTCTCTTGAATTTTTGTTTCTCTTGTAACATACTTAAAACATTATCCAGAGAACAAAACTCCTTTAATTACTTGAACTCTTATCATGCTTACTTTATTATTCTTACCCTTGCATGTTTTTGTCATTTCCAGGTAATGGTACACTTGTTTGTCCAGAGAATCTTGACTTTCTATTCCTCTATACACTTATCTACAAGTAATTATCCTTACCTGTCTGGGTTTTTTGTCATCTCCAGGTAATGGCACACCTGTTTGTCCAGAACAGAGAAGTTTGACTTTCTTTGTAAGATCTGCAGCTTTAGCACCATCAATTCTGTCAACCTGGGACTTGTTCTTCAAAACACAAATAACATTACTCAGCACAGTTTTATTCAATGACATGCTATTATGTGAAAAGTTAAAATTTGTATGTACTCTCTACATTGGAAAATGGAAATGTACTTTAAAACAAAAACAATAGCCAATATTTAAGAAGAATAACTGCATTTGGCCTTGACATTACCAATTAGTAACATCAGAACAGAGGTTACCATACAGATGTCATACAAATTGTCACCAATACCTAAACCTACCAAATCTTTTCAAAAATTGAAAATCTGACACTTTCTTCAAAAATCCTTGCTAAAACTAGATATGACAGCGATACACATGCCCCAGCTGACATGCAAGTTTTATATATGTGCAAGTCCAAGAGTGTGGAAATAAAAAAGAGTGGAAATGGCACCAAAAAAAATGTCGTATTGCTGCTTTTTTTTCTGGAGTCAGTTATCTATACTGAAGCATACTTAAGCTGCGTGAAATGGTAATCACTATTCACAAACAAATCAATAAAAAGTCTGAAAACAGTAAATAACGAGAAAGGACTATAACTTTCTTGAAAATTTGATCTGTAAATTATCAATATAAAGAGACAAACCAAGCACAACAAAATAAGTAAGGAAAACTGTGAATTTTCAGAAATTTTCGAAGTCTAAGTGTCAATATACTGAATTATGTATCTAAGTGTAGTCTACTTGTGTCCCAAGTTATACTGAAACCAGACCAAAACTCTAGGAGGAGTAGCATTTTGAAAAATTGTTTACAGCAGACAGACGGACAGCTAAACAGATAGACAGCTAGACAGATGGACGACGGACACTTTACTATCGCATAAGCTCTTTTGGTCTCTGACCAGTAGAGCTAAAAAACAGCTCATTACCTACAAGCATACCAAAAAAAAGTCTGGAAAACTAAGTATGACAGATGACAGTAACTAAATGAAAGATGGAAAGGAGTAGCACTACATGCCCTTGCCATTTCATGGTGGGGGCCTAAAAAGGTCTCATTTTGGGGGATACAATATATACTTATAATACATGTAGTAGTAAAATGTCTTTGAAGGGGGATACTTTGTCCTCTGCATACAATATTGTGACAATGATCACTGTTGATCCTGGTTTTGTCGATAGGTTAAAGATTTTATGTTAAGTTAATTAACAAATTACTTATGGTGATTATTTTTGCAAGTCTCTGTCTTAATTAAGTAATAACTAACCATTCAAAACATTCATAAAAATTAAAATTAAGACTTCATTTTGTCAATAAGCATACGTGTATTAGCTGTATTGTAGATACAACAGTAAATTAGATGAACAATTTTGTATTTGAAAGAAAAATGTCAACTTTAATAAGAGCTCAAAAAATACATCCTCATTCTTAGTATTTCCCAGACTGTTACCTCTCTGTATTTTTCTACATGTTTTATATCTTTCTTGTACATGTATTCTTTTTCTACATCTTGCCTTGTTTATTTCATATTAAACCTTAATGTGTTTATTCACCATGACCTTGATGTGGGTAGAGGGCTAAAATAGACTGCCTGCTGCTCAACTCCATTCATTTTGTGATTAAGATATTGACTGTTTAAATCAAATTAATACCCTCTCACCTTAATGAATATAAATGTAGGTACTGCTGTTATTTCATATTTTTCTGAGATGTCTGGCAGGTCTTCTGCTTCTAACTAGAAATGCAAAATTTGCTTTAAATTAAAAAATAAAATTTTTTTCTTTCCAATCCTGAAATGAAGTTCTGTTCTATTTTTCAAAGCATTAACTTCAATAAAAAAAATAACCTAATGATAAACTTTTACTTTAAGGCCTTTTTAAATCTGATTTGCATCTAATCCTGAATCTTCATTTTTTACCTGTGCAAAGTGAACATTAGTGTACTGTGCATCCTTTGACAGTTCCTCCATAACATCATTCATTTGTTTACACTGTGGGGCCCATGCTGCTGAGAAATGTAAAACTACCAGTTGGCTACAAACAGATAAATCTGTATTATATGTCTCATAAAACATAAATTGAGGTACAATGTATATAGTTCTTATGATATACCAGACATTTATTGTTTAATTATATTTCATATTTATATATAAATATTGTAGTTGAGGGTATCATTGAAAATCCCCCCTCCCAACCAACCTACACCCAAGAATTTTGCTTGAAACTGTCCCATTGGTTCTTGAGAAGTTGAACATGTGAAAAGTTTACAGTTGTACAGACAGATGGACACTGGACAAAATGTGACCAAAAAGCTCACTTGAGCCTCCAGTGCTCTTAAGAGAGATATTATATCAGCATATTGTACACTGTACTGTCTTATTTTATTGATAAAGAGGTTTACCTGACCTACATGTACATGTGCACTACAAGTTAGAAATACAAGTACCGGTACATCACTTTTCTTTTAAATTAGGAATTATAACATGAAAATGTACAGTATGTGCACTTTCAAATGCTTTAAATGCAAAAGTCTTTACCTGCGGATAATTTCACTTTTGGGGAGGGGGGGGTACCAAAAATCCAATTTAGTTATCCAATTTAGTGTATACTGTACATTACTATTTTAATTCATTATATGCAAATATTAAGAAAAGATGCACAGTGGTCTTTGAATTTTTGAAAAATAAGTCGATAAAAAAAATCTCCAATTTCAAGCTAAAAAATAATCAGAATCTTCAGTTGTGAGTCATCCTGACAACATCAAGTTTCCTGAGTCCACTTGTGGCCATTGGATCCCTTATATATTTTATTTGATATTTTTCGGCTAAAGCTTCCCTCACTGAGAAGCACCAATCAGATTGGGCTTTTATAAGTTTACATAAAACGTAAACAGAGAGTAAGCAGTTTACACTTCAATGCATGTGTTACAGGTTGATTGAATGTGATTGGTCGAGAGATAAGAAAAAGAATCAAGATTTGTAATTTCTCCAAATGACGCAGCTGCATTCAGTCAGCCCATAAAATATTGAATGAAATTTGTCAAGGGTCAAACAGCCAGGAGTGGACTCAGAACCCATGACTTTTTAAGGATGGTTGTGAGTGTTCAGTTCTGTTACATGTATGTTAATTTATTGAAGCATAGCCTTAAACTTTTTATTAAGCCAAGTGAAATTTTGTGTACACATTGTGTAATTTTTTTAAGAAAAGATTTGAGAAAAAAAACTCTTTATGCAAACACTGGCAGATTTAAGGGGGGGCGTGGGGGGCGCACGCCCCCCCTAAAATTTTCAAAGTATGACATGACTAATATTAATAATGCCATACTTTGGTTTTATAATTAATGGTCAATTAAAAAATGGTAATTTTATTTCATGACCAAGTATCGGTCTGAAAACCTTGCATTCCCTAGGCTATGATATCTCATAATTATTCAAACCGGAAAACGTCGAGCCGATTTCGATTGAAGGGTAGACTGCACTTGTCAATTTCCTATCATGATGCAAGGAAAAATACTGGAATATATAAAGGCTGGTCGAAGGTAAATAAATGAATTTAAAATCAGACGGTCTACGTTACAAACCCGTCCACTGATTGATGTATTTATTTATCAAATGGTGTAACTATGCAGTAATTTACTTACATAGATACAAAACTTTTTTTCATTACACACGTCTCATATTCTTTCCATATAAATGGAATTTAACGTCAGGATATAGGTTAGGATGGTGTAACTTCGACCACCTGGTTAATTTCGACCGTTCATAAACACCTTAAAATAATTTGTTTATAACCCATTATAGTGTACACTCATCTATTTTATGCAGAAAGAAAATGCATTTTTCATATACAAATCAATGTCGATAATAATAGGCGAAATGTATTTCTTCACTAGAAAATTACATCCAAGAAGAAACCTTATCGCCCGAAAAATTAAAGATGAGTATTTTTAAACCATTGCGGGAAATTATCAGTTTATCACCTCTGAAAATATCTTGTATATATAGAAAGACACAGTGGATATTCCTGGCGTGAAATTTATCAACTATGTTTAATTTTACAACTTAAATTCATACCTTTTTAATTTATAGTATTTAGTTTTTACAAATAAAATGCAAATCAGTTGAACAGAAATCGGCTGAAGTAACCCATGCATGAATACGGTGTCAACGGGTAACTCAGTTCGACCAATGAAAATGACGCATTGCTATTTGTTACCAGAAAAAAATCATGACCACCGTCCGTATGAAAGAATTATTAGGATAAGTATTATGTACAAGAATACTTCGTAGAAACTAGTTCTTTAACAGTGAAAAAATCATCTGTTCTATTTACATGCAGTTTAGATGCCTGCGCATATGTATTCATTTGTGGCATGCCTTGACAAATCGGTAAATCAGTTCTAGGCACCTGGTGTACTTATTGTCTTCAAATTAGGTACATTTTGAAAATTACTGTTTTTTGTCAGCATTTTTTCACAATCTTTTATGTTTTACAACAGAATAATTTAAATCAATATATATATATTTTTAAATTAGAGATGACATGAATAATTTCGTTTATATTTGCACATCGATCAAAAATACCCTGTGTGCGCGGTAGAAGTTACCCAACACACATATCTTGTAAATCGAACACATTTATTTTATATCATGACCAATAATACATATAATACAATGTAATCTGAACAATAAAAGGTATTCACCACCAGCCCTCTTAAGTGACAATGCACTTTGAAAAACATTCTGATTTTTGTGCCTAATTCTTGTACATCTAGGAAAATGCTATTTTTAAAATCTGATCTTGTTTGTTCGTTGTATTTTGGGGTTTGTATGTGTGTGTGTTTTTTTTAAAAAGTGAAATATCATAGTGTACATAACTAATCAATACCACTATTTTTGTGCCTGGTTTTACTCTTAAAATTCACGAAAACCCAGGAGGTTCCAGGGGCTTCGCCCCCTGGGTCCCCACCAGGGCTTCGCCCTGGACCCACTGGGGGCCTTAAGGCGGCCCCCAGACCCCTTGCCTGAACAAAGTTATCCACGCCCCCCCCCCCCCAATCACAAATCCTGTATCCGCCCATGGCAAAGGCATGTCTCTGCGAGAGACGTCAGTACAAGATTTTTAGTATCGACGAATCTCGCTGAGATTAGCAAAGGCCTTGTCTATGGCAGGGGGATGAATATTTAGAACTTGTAATTTTGGCAAAACTATCTGCAATGTCTTTTTTCGAATTCAGAGGGTACTTTTCAAGATGATTTCACTTACTTTACTGATGAAGATAACACATTTTGAAGCGAGGACTCATCAACAACTTTCAAAACCCCCATGTTCTTTGCTAAATAGCGTGAAAGATGTCTTAAGTCAGAACAGTCAGGCTAGTCGCCTTGTGTGGATGATGATATTAATATAAGAAATAGAAGTCGCTCACTAAAGTAAAAAAAAATCAGTACGGTGAAATAAAATCCGAAATACCTTTCTCGGTTGAAAAACGTTGACATTTTGTTCAGTGGAATGTCCGGTATGTAATATAGAGAGAGGGGGTTCCCTCTCCCTTTTTTTCCCCAAACATAATAACTTCACTGTTGTCTTGAAAATGTTCAATGAAAGGCAGGTTGACCCCTTCTTTTTCTTGCGGTAGTTAATCATGGTAATATTAAAAGGAAGTTCTTAACACTAACGAACAGTGCTTTTTGGACTTGGAGAAAAATATATCATATAAAAATGTGCATATTGAGAATATTTAGTTCATTTTCAACATAGAGTGCCTGCCTTATTTCCACTGGTAAAATGTTTAAAGACAATGGACTATTCTGAACAGAAATCACTGTTGTTTACTTACATTGGGAAAATAAATAGAAATATCAATTACTTATCCGTGATCTAATATAATGCTAAGAATATTTTAACATATTACAAATTGTTTAATTAACTGTAAATAACCATTTTTTCTAACCTTCTTAATTATAAGGGCAGATCACTCTTACTGCATAAAATTACCCTGCAAGTCAAACTCTTTAGTATGCAGTGTTTAGAGCTTCCTTAAGTTTGATTTTTATGATTTCCTCCCACCCTTATTATTTTTTATTTATTTATTTTTTCTTTTTGCTTGTCAAAGTTTTTTCAGGTGTAAATTTGCTTCCGTCCAACTTTCAAAAACGATAATATGTGTCTGATGTGGAAGGACACTCCTCTCCCCTAACTTTCCCCTCAAAGAAAAATCTTACTGTTAAGAACAGATGTGCGAACGCAACTAAATATATATATTTATTCAACTAGAATTACATAAAATGAATGTTTAGCCCCATAAAGTTTCCATTTTCTTTGAAATTTCTCATAGTCCCATTAAGTGATAAAAAATGTGATGGCAAAAAGGAAGAAATTTCAATATCATAGAAAGTCTCTATCATTTCTAATTTTAAGAGATTTTATATACACTGTAAGTGCATGCACCATTTACAACCAAAATATACCAATCCAGGCATCTGTTTATTTTTTGTTGTAGCCTGTGTCCCAAAAGCGTTGAAATTTTTAAGCATCCCCATTTTTGACGAAGAGTACATGAGGACCCCTCTCCCCCTGCTCCACGAAATAGATTTGTGTAGTTTATTTCGTGTGTATGTGTGAGTGTTTTTGTTTTGTATTCCTTGTTGTCCACCCCCCCCCCCCTCTTTAATTTGTTTTTGAATTTTGGTGTTTGTTTTTGCTCTTCTTTTTTTTCTTGTCAAAGTTTTTTAGGCACTTTGCTACTCACCTGCTTCCAGTTCGTCCAAAACTGCATAAAATTGGTTGATTTACCCAGCCAGCAAAAATACATTGTTGAAAAAAATGTCTATAAAAGAAAAACAATCTAAAATCGTTTCTAATATGTTTATTCACGTGATTGTGTGTGTGTGTTTTAATACTTTAACAAATGTTATTAGAACATTATCTTCAAATTAATGAATTTTTAATAAATGTATTTTTTTTTTTAGATTTGTGATATATCTAATTTAAATCTTAAGTGTAGCTGAATTTTTAGGAAAGATGTACATGCATTTTTTAAAATCATTATTCAACTTATTTAGGCGGGAAAGGCCTATGTGTACCGTCCCTTCTGTATGTTTCATACGGGGGGGGGGGTCTTTCTCCTCATTAAAAAATCTTAATTTTGTAATTTTCTCCTTTCTTCAATTTACGCAAACAATGGGGGTTATTTCTCACTACTATAATTGCTGACGGAAATTTTTACTATGAATTTCTTTTAAGATTCAAATTCTTTTTTCTTTTGAGGTGCACAAATCTGCCAAATGCAATATTTTGAAAACATACTTCTAAAAATGTATTTTTAAAAAAATTGTACAATGGACGATCGCCAGTTGGAAAATAGAGGCTGAATTAAGGACATACGCGACGTAGAACCCTCTATACACTGTACACTAAAGAGTTCCAATTCCATGGCATTTTTAATTTATGCAGTGAGAGTAAACTTAGATCTAAAATGAAATACATGCAAATTAAATTTATTATTCAAACTGTAATCAATTCAAGCAGTCTAAACATTTCATTTGGCTTAGTTGTTCAAAGTAATTGAACACTTTCTAATAGTTTCTATGCATGCATTTTCCCCATTTAAATAAGCAACAGTGATTTCAGTTCACCAACACTTCATTGTCTTTGAATATTTTCCTGAGGGTAAATGGCGGGTACCCAAAGTTGAAAATTAAATAAATAAACTCCATATTTATATCTTCTTAAGATATAATTTTCTCAGAGCTCAAAAAATATTTTTCATTGGTACATGTATAGAAGATCCTTAATTTCTTATTCACCGTATAATTTAAGAGTTCCAATAATAGAAGGATTTTTGTGCGATTTTATGTCTGCTTACGCTTTGTACACCTCTGAATCAAATTTATAGGATTTACCAACTAAAACTATATTTTTCTTAATTTTCGTTAAAAAACACAAAGATTTTCATCATTTAATATTTGTTAACAATTCCTGGTAATGTATACTGATTTTTTGTCTAAGAACACCTGAAAATACGATGACTTTTAAATTAATGGAAAAGGTACATTGTAGAGTACATTTGCGTATGTCCTTTTAAATGAGAAACATATACATATATTTACATTTGCTATGTTTTTCTACTAAGCCAACTGTGCAATTGATTTGAAGTTCATTTTTGTGTATACTCACGCGTAGAAATATACACGGTGAAACTCGCGGTAAAGTGACGTCACAATGAGGCTACAGAGACGTTAATAAAAATGTAACGATATAGGGCAGCAAGAAATTCAAATATTGAGCATAATATTGCTGCTTTTGAACTTGTAAAATGTAAATATAAGGAATGTTTTTAAGTTTTGTGTGAGTTATTGGTGTGTAAATCACACAGACTTGCACGTAGGCATATTTTTCATGAAGCGCTAGCGCGCTTCATGAAATATGCCTACGTGACAAGTCTGTGTGATTTACACACCAATAACTCACACAAAACTGAAAAACATTCCTTAAGTAATACAGATTAAAGATGAGTCTTCAGTAAGTATATCTTTTTATTATTTTTTTCTTTAAAAATCGCCAAGAATTATTTGAGTAGTGTCATTCAGATTTCCAGAGACCCAAAACTGTCTCTTTCAGAGAGCAATTGACCTCTAGTGGATTGCCTAAAGACTGATTTTATAAAGATTCACAAAACGTTGCAAAATAAATATAACGGAAAACAAAATAATAAAGTTCAAGGGAGTAGCAACGCTGAATTTTAGTCAGCGACCGAAACATCAGCAGTGTTTTCCCCTGTTGGAATGTCCTCCTGCTTCGATTCGTCTTGCTTATCCTCTGCTGGACTTCCCGGTGTCACGTTTTCATCCGCGCCCACAGCATCAAGAGGCCTCTCTTTATGGCTATCGACTGTTTCCCCCGACTCCGTGTTTTCTTCTTCATTTGCTGGTACTGTTTCTTGAGCTACCTCGTCTGCGGAACCAGTATTTCCCGAAGCTTCCTCTGACTGCTCAACTTTTTCTTCTGTCCCTTCCACAATTTCTGAATCTTTTCTTTGCGTGGATTCGGAAGTTCCATGTGACTCTGAGGGGTTTTCTTCTGACGCGTCACTGTGATTTATTGCGTCCTTTTCCTCAGTATCATCTTGCTCTCCTGGTTCCACGGTGTGTTGGTTGGTGTTCTCTTCCTGTTGAGTGACTTCCTCTATTTGTTGTGCTGTTTCCTCGGTGCGTTCATCTCTATCCTCTGCCTGCTCTGTTACTTCCTCCGTTTGTGTTGGCTCCTCGGTAACCTCTTCCTGTTGCATTACTTTCTCCGTTTGTGTTGGTTCCTCTGTAACCTCTTCCTGTTGCATTACTTCCTCTGTTTGTTGTGCTGATTCCTCTGGGTGTTGATCAGTACCCTCTGCCTGCTGTGTTTCTTCCTCTGTTTTTGCTGGTTTCCCGGAGTGCTGGTCGATACCCTCTGCCTGCTGTGTTTCTTCCTCTGTTTGTGCTGGTTCTCCGGAGTGCTGGTCGATACCCTCTGCCTGCTGTGTTTCTTCCTCTGTTTGTGCTGGTTCCCCGGAGTGCTGATCGATACCCTCTGCCTGCTGTGTATCTTCCTCTGTTTGCTTTGCTGATTCTTCGGTGTGTTCATCTGTACCCTCTGCATGTTGTGTTAGTCCATCTGTTTGTTCATTTGTTTCCTCAACTTGAACCTCTGTTCCCTCTTCTGATTTTTCAATTTTCCCTAAATCTTCTTCTTTGTGTTGCTCATGGGAATTATCTACAATATCCTTCATAATTTCTGAAGCTGCACCCTTAGTATGTTGTTTCTGGTCTTCTCCGTCTTGACTTGATATTACTTCTTTAGATTGTCCTTCTGTTGTTTCTCGGTCGTGTTCTATCTTTGTTGGTTCCGACTCACTATCTCTGTTTTCCTCATCCCTCTCATCTACAACAGCTTCGGCACTACAGGTGACGGCACATGTTTCCACCAGATGCTCATCTTGGTTTTCATCCCCGACTTCCACCGTTTCCATTTCTACATCGGGTGCGTGCTCTTCAGCCAAATTTTGGTACTTTGATGATGATTCTTCAGTCTGTTGCTGAGACTCAATGTTAGTACTTTCTGTCTTGTTAAAAAGGGAATCGGTACCAGTTGTATCAGTTAATTGCAAAGGTTCGGGTTCGGCGACTGGCACAACAGGACCAGGTTCAACAACTGGCACAAAAGGACCAGCTTCAACCACTGGTACAACGGGACCAGCTTCTACTGGTACAACGGGACCAGCTTCAACTATATTTTCAACATTTCCTGATTTACCCATACTTTCATTTGTTTTATCTGTTGTAGAATCAAAAGTTTCTACGACCTGTTGGACATCCTTTGGAAGTTCAGGTTCTGTTTTATGAACAGCAGCGACTGAATATCGTTTTGTTTCAATACTGGTCCTGGAAAGCTCCTTAGCGTGAACCACTTGTTCGACACTTTCAGCCAGTTCTCTTTCTGATTCTCGGTGCTCTGTAGAATCTACGGATTCTGCCGATATTTTCCCCTTGGATTCCGATATATTTTCTGGTGTTTCTTGTGTTGTCTGTGTCTTGTGTAAACTTCTACTTGATTCTCTTATTTCTTTCAGTAAATCCTGTTTCAGTTCTATGCGTTCCTCTGATTCGACCAACATTGTTTTTTCATGAGATGCATGAGCATCATCTTGTTCATCTAAATGTTCTGTGGCTGATAGTCTTGATGCTTCATATGCTAGGTCTTCCCGAGTTTCCTGCAGAGTTCTTTCCACGGCTTCTGAGACTCCTGTAGGAGTATCTCTGCCGCCGCCGTCATCACCAGCGGTTTTCTGAAGATGTACAGGACTCGAAACATCTCGCAGAGCGACTGCACCATCAGACCTTACACCACCTTGTTCTTTCAAAGATTTTCTTCCTGGAACAGTATGTGCACTTTCTGCCTTTTTATTCTCTTCCTCTGTTGGGATGGACTCAACTGCTGCCCTTTCTTTTGATGTTGATAGCACGCTTTCTGCTGTAGGTTTGTTGTTAAACTTATATTTCAATTTCTCAAGATAAGATACATCTGGTAAACGCCGCAATGCTGCATTTCTTTCAACCATCTTTCTTTCGAAATACACTGCTGCATATTCCAATATATCTTCAGGTTGTTGGCGAATAATGCTTCTCGCTAAATTTTCCATGAAAAGTTGAAATCCCCGTGGCAATTTTTTGCGCCAATATACCTTTTCTGCTGACATCGCTGCCATCTTAAGTTTAACGTTTTAGACGTTTGATTCAAACAAACTCTCTACATGGTTCCCTGAGTGACTATTGTGACGTCATTCATTGTTGCCAAAAACATGACGTCTTGTACGATCGACAAACCTCATCGGCGATCTCGCCATGATTTGACTTCGGCAGATAGAGTAAGTAATTATAAGCAGGTTGGGGGGAAACGTAAATTCCGCTATAATAGTGGTATATCACTATTATAGTGAGATTCCGCTATATTTTCAGCCGTAGTTACCCTCGATTTCATCAAATAACATATTTGCTGATTAAAGCGCAAGTTATGATGGGTATAAAAATGGACAATAATTTGAATCCTTGCATGTTATGAATTTTATTTAATTTTCTGCCGATGCGTTTAATAATACGAACACACTTTTTAAAGCGGAAGTTACATTTTTAACATAGCAACCAGTGATTGCGGTGTATTGAACAAAGACTGACTCTTCATATCTCTTACACGTGTGTACAAATTAGTGCTTGTAATAACTTTGAACCCACGTTGAAATACGTTTGTCGAATTTACAGAAGAAAAGATGATTTTTGCCTGCATGGTAACGGGTATGGAGGCCCGTTGTGACAAACGAAAAAAGCTCATTACATGTTCACTTTATTCTGATGAAACCGATTTGTATTGTTTAATTGCAATAAATCGTGAACAATTATGTAAGATGTCATTTCTGCAGGTAATTACAAACACATTGTTAGACATTCTTTTTGAGAATGTTAAACAAAATTAACAATACGAACAACAAATTTAAAGGGCCTCGGTTTTAAGGGTGTCTTCCATCTATTCCCACTTAAAAAAATCAGAAGTCCACATATTTCCGCTTGCAAAAATGATATAGTTTATTCAGAATATAATTTTGGGCAGACAGCCCATCAGTTACAAAAATAATTTATAATCTATACATATTTTACAATAAGTAAGACTCTCACAGAGTCTAAAAGGGGGGGGGGGGTGAGATCCCTGATCAAGTGTTCCTCAGTCCCACAGTTCCATTCACTTGTATAGAAGACTATAATATATGCTATAATATAAAGCAGAAGAAAGAATACTTTAAAACAATTAAATTGTTTTACAATATATGTAGCAATGCTGTTGTATTATATATAAAGATTTGAAAATTAACCTTGAACAAATAGACATTGGGTCAACCTGACAGATCATCGTAACGTAATGTAAGAGCATGATGGATAAATTTCCCTAAGCCAACTAGGGTACATATGCGATGTGAACCGAATAAATGAAGTAATTTAAATGTACTTGGAGATTTGTAATAATATTCATTTATGTATTTTTTCCTTAAATTTAGATATCTATGGCACTGAAGAATGAAATTAAATTCGTCTTCAATTTGATGCGTATCGTAAACATCGCAGAATCTATCCTCACTGCTCTTGCTTTGTGTTGAAAGTTCATTTGTGTTTATAACAATTATGTTAATTACATCTCAACTTACATGTTTTTTTTTTTTACAATTCAATACACTTTAAGACAGAAAATACATTTAATAAATCGATGAAAATGCAATGATATATTTCACTTAATTTTGTACAGAAAATAAATAAATAGATTTTAAGAAAAAATATGATGTAATTCACTCAATTTTTTACTCCTTGAATACGTTCAATTTAAGACAGAAAATAAAGTAAATCGATTCAATTTCTTTTTCAATTTGCTTAAACTACTGTATGAAATATGAAGATAACAAACAGTAATCAATCTCAAAAGCCCATTGAAACAAAAAAATTAAACAGAGCAAACACGGACCTCTAAAAACATCAGAGGTGGGATCAGGTGCCATGGAGGAGTGAGCACCCCCTACCAACCGGTCAAATCCGCCGTGTGCTCCTTGTCATGATCGTGAAAAAACCGTAGACAATTCAATGTGTAAATAATGGCTTATGCGTACTTAAAAAAGCAGGCTTGATATTTTAGCGGCTGTGGCGCAGACAACGATGTACTAATTCATGATAACCATTAACAAATGAATTTCGCAGAATCCATGATCGACAGGGGATGCCGACTCCTCCATAGCACCTGATCCTACCTTTTCGAAAAATTTTATTGTTCAAATGGCCTTTTTCGTTATCTTCATATTTCTGTTTCTTCTTGTATTTCGTTCATTTATACCAGAATAATCTACTTCTGGTAATTAGGATTTCATTGTCTCTTTTTTGTTGCATAACGTACATGTAGTTAAATATAAAATTTTATGCAATTTACACAATCAATAAATTGTGCAGAATTTAAAAGACGTCACATCTACAGGTAATTTTCACAACTTTTCCCCTTTTCTTGCTAAGACTATTTTATTTCATGGTTTCATCATCAAGAAAGGAAACATTTTACATGTACCTAAGATTACATGTAAAAGTGACATATATTGCTTACGGTTTAGACGACACAAATCGGTTCCATTAAAGTGAACTTATGCTGAGCTTTATTTTCATTTGTCATAACGGGCCTCCATACCAGTAACTATGCAAGCAAAAATCACCTTTTCTTCTGTAAATTCGACAAACCTATTCCAAAGTGGGTTAAAAGTTATTACACGCACTAATTTGTATGGTTCTGAGATATGGATTTCAGACTTTAATATCAATATAAACAATTGTGATCAACTACCTTTTGAAAAGATACAGCGTTTAATATTTAAAGACATCTTGGGTGTACAGAGAAAAACTTCAAATTTAGCCATTAAATATGAGCTAGGAACACTTCCTATTTGTTGCAAAGCTTAAATATTACAAGAGACTAAAAAACCATAAAAATAAAAATGGAATTAGAAATCAAATTCTTATTGCTACTTTCTTAGAAGATGACAATCTATATAATAATGGTGTAAAGGATAATTGGCAGAGTCATATTGATAAATTAAAAAAGAAACTTAAACTTCCATCATTAGATATTACTGATAAGACATTTAGCAGCTGCTTGAAGAATTTCTACATAAAAAATGTTAATTTGCAACTTCAAAACATTGAATTCGCCAAATGTGGTAAATTACTATTTTACAGTCAAATTAGAAAGAACCATGAATTACAAGACTACTTGAAATTTCCAATTAATAAATCTGTACGTTCTAAATTAACAAAACTGAGAATTTCTGCACACCCTTTAGAAATTGAAATAGGCAGATATTCAAAGCCTTGTATCCCAAAAGAATCTCGTTTTGTCACTATTGTAAAACTGTTGTAGAAAATGAAATACATTTCATATATGACTGTTCTATATATAAAGATTTGCGAAAAAAGTATTATCCTTTGAACATCTATAATTTAAATGATAACATGTTGAAGGAGAATCATTGTAAAGTACTTTGTAATCCTGACAATGCAGTTCATTCTAGAAGGCTATGCGAATTTTTACATGAATGTTTTGAATTGCGTTCTAAAAATAGAGCGCAATAATATATATTTAATGCATTAATTAGTTCATCTCTGTCCCTATTATACTGTTTATACTATTTGCATAATGATTATGTATAACTTCAAGTTGTAAACGTAGTTGACTTCACTGATTTGTACACTTGCATGTATGTATGTACTCTAGTATGTGTTTTAGTAATCTGAAAACACACTGTATTTTTCATTTTGTATGTAACATGGTTGTATGCCAACATGTTTGGTGAATCAATAAATAAATTAAATTGAAAATTGAATTAAAAAATCAACTTAACAAATTTATGTAAAAAATTGTAAAGAAAGTACAGGATATATGATATGCACACATACCATGAGGGTTTGTTTAGCTGAGTTACAGGCAAAGTTTTTCATAAAAAAATAATAATAAACGTGCTTTATAGCAGTTTACAATTTATCTTCGCCTCTTTCAGTGTTCTCTTGGTAGTAACGTTTTTAGAAGGGGGTAGGGGAGACTTTTAAGGAGGAATTAATGTGGCAATCAGGCAGGTTCGAACGCCGGTGGCCCGGGCGTGCAGATACATGTATCTGGCTCAGTTGGGGCCCGAGTTCGGATCCTGGTCTGACCCGTCGCATTATTCTCCCTTTTCAGTTACAAACAAAACTTATTATTGCATAACAAAATAAATACTAGTATACGCATGTAAATATGAATAAGTATACAGATGTGTTTTTGAAAGAGAGAGAGAGGGGGGGTATGGTAGGTAAACAAACCTCATTGGAGGGAATTTTTTAACAATATTTTTTTTTTTCATTTCTTTAAAAAGAAAATTCCAAAAATTCCATTTAAAAAAGATCTTAAGTTGTTTGAATATCGAAGTGGTGTTTTTTTTTTCCATTAGAAACTGTGTAAGTAATTCTTGCACGGTCAAAATAACGTAATGGGACGATTCGCTTGCATTTCATTATCGAACAATAATTGTTAGAGAACTGAAATAAATTATGACAATGATAAAAATTCGGAATTACCTAGAAGACAGATCGCTCAGCATTATGGAATGGGGGGGGGGGGGGCTGAAAGATTGCATGAATGCTGTTTTAAGGAAATTCTACGCGAAGCTGAAGAAGAAACAATATTTTTTGATTAGTTTTATTTTCACATAACAAAGCAAGTACTGAATGGAACTGAGGGAAAAAACATCTATTATGTTAGCCCCCTCAGAAGAAAATATTGCCTTTTCAGGCGCGGATCCAGGAATTTTTTCCAGGGGGGGTCTACCCCCATTAAAAATTTCCAACCCAGAAATTTCTTGACAAGCAAAACAAAACAAAACAAACAAATAAAAACAAAACAAAACTAACTAACTAACTAACAAACAAGCGAAAACGAGAACCCCCCCCCCCCCTAAACTCCTTTTCCAAATGTATAAAAACCCAGAAAAAAATTCCCGACAAGCAAAAAAAAGAAAAGAAAAGTTATGTCCATTCCTAAACGTGAAAAAAATCTATTTTGTGGCGATGTTGGTGGGGTTCACCTTTTCTTTGGGGGGGGGGGCATTTTTTTTATTTGCTTCAGTATGTACATTTGATAACTCTGCAAATTCCGGGGGGGGGGGAGGCGGACCCCCCGATCCCCCTCTAGATGCACGCATGCTTTTGCTCTGCGTCGGGCAAAATCTCGTCCCTCGGGGGGTTTACATAATCAAAGTTGCCCTCCACCCCAGAGTTAACATATGTATTCTGTTTATTTTTTTCCTTTTTAGGTCACCTGAGTGACTCAGGTGACCTATTGCTATCCGTTTTCGTCTGTCGTCGTGCGTTTTCAACTTCTTCTCTAGAACCGCTCAACCAATTTCAACCAATTTTGGCATACAGCATTTTTGGTGAAGGAGAACAAAAATTGTGAATTTCATGGTCCCTGCCCCCCCCCCCCCCTTGGGCCCCAGAGGTGGGGCTAAAACCACCAAAATTGATCTTCTTTACTCCTGGACATCCAGCAGTCAAACTGTTGGCATGATTGTAATAAGCATTGGGCCCTCTACCTAAATTGTGGAATTCATGCCCCAGGGTCAGGGTTTCTGGTGCTAGGGCGAGGCTATATAGATCATACAGTGAAAGTGCATTATTTCTTTGAAAATCTTCTTCTCTTCTATATTTAAACAATTATTTAAACTATTACATTGTATTTAAACAAACTATGTGCTTGATTATGACAAGCAATGATGCCTTTTCCAAAATTGTGAAATTCATGGCCCCTGGGTCAGGGGTACTGGTGTTAGGGCGCGGCTCTATTGATTATATAGTGAAAATGCACTAATTCTTTGAAAATCTTCTTCTCTGCTCCTGGATATTATATAAACAAACTAAGTGCATGGTTATGATAAGCATTGATGCCTTTTCTGAAATTGTGAATTTCATGGCCCCTGGGTCAGGGGTTCTGGTGTTAGGGCGGGGCTCTATTGATTATATGGTGAAAATGCATTAATTCTTTGAAAACCTTCTTCTCTGCTTCTGGGTATTATTTAAACAAACTAAGTGCATGGTAATGGTACACAAGGATGCTTTTTCCAAAATTGTGAAATTCATGGCCCCAGGGTCAGGGGTTCTGGTGTTAGGGCGGGGCTCTAATGATTATATAGTGAAAATGCATTAATTCTTTGAAAATCTTCTTCTCTGCTCCTGGGTATTATTTAAACAAACTAAGTGCATGGTTATGATGCACAAGGATGCTTTTTCCAAAATTGTGAAATTCATGGCCCCAGGCTCTATTGATTATATAGTGAAAAAGCATTAATTCTTTGAAAATCTTCTTTTCTGCTCCTGGTTATAAAGTAAACTAAGTGTGTAGTTATGATGAACAAGAGTGCTTCTTCGTGAATCATGGCCTCCAAGTCAGATGTTCTGGTGTAAAGGTGGGACTCAATTGATAATACATGTATAGTGAAAATACATTATTTCTGTTAAATAATCCTGTCTGTCCCTTATTGTTGAGGATAAACAAAGTGCATAATTATGATGAACAATTGTGCTTCTTACAAAAGTTTTAAAACTTGTGGTCTCCAGGTTTTGGTGTTTATCAAATGGAGGGGGGGGGGGGGCTATATTTATTAATAAAGTGAAAATGTGTTAATTCTCTGAAAATCTTCAACTAGGTGCATAGTTATGATGATGAGGGTACCTCTATCAAATTTATGAATTTCATGACGCTGGGACATGGGTTTTAGTGTTAGGGTAGGGGTGTGTTGAATCTGTCGTGAAAATGCATTATTTCTTTGAAAATCTTCTCTGCTCATGGGCATATCGAAGGCAAACAGAATTAAAGTTTTAATAAGCAAGGATATTTTTACCAGATTTTTGAACATCAGGACCATTTGGTCAAGTGTTCTGGTCCTAGTCAGGGCTCTGTATTCAACTGAGAGAAGTTATTCCCCTTTGCCATTCACTTTTGATAATTAATCACTGTAAATAAAGTATTTGAAAGTCAATAGAATAAGAGAATTATGCAAAAATTTTTATTGAATAATACAAAAAGTACTTTTATAGTTTTAATGATCAGGTAGACTTGTAAATAATAAATAAATAAAAATGAGACAAAAATAACTTATTAAATGTTCTTCAAAGACCAAGAGAGGCCAATGTGAGAGCTGGTCACAATGTGGTGTTAACAGTAGTACAGAGGAAGTAATAGTTTGTTAATAGTCTGCATGGTGATAGTTCTAAATGGGGGATAAATTAGAATTTAATGTACGAGTTGTTACTGAATACTAGACTAATTATTTCATTGATTCTGACCATCCTATTTCCCTTGCTTTTGGGCAACAAAGCTTCACCTATCAGTTTCATTTTATACTCTATGGATCCTCTAAATTGTTGTATTATACTCAGGTGACCGCTAAGGCCCTTGGGCCTCTCGTTTTTTTTTTTTTTTCTTTTAGCAACTCTAAATAAGAAATCTTTTACAGCATGTACTGGCTACCGTGACGCAGGAATGTCCAAAATAATTTTGAGTGCTTTTAACCCGTATGAATGAGTGTACAATCCTCAAAATCACAAAAAGAACAATAACTCCTGTACAGCGTATAATAATAAACAAACTACTTGTACATTTTGTGGGATTGACCTTAATACGTCCTCTGGTCATTTTCTCCAGTTCCTCGTCTTCTTCTTAGCTCCTATAACCAAATAACTCGGTGATTTATCATATGCAGAGAATGAAAGCACAACAAGACAAAAGATTTCAAGCTTTCAGCATGTGGATTCTTTATTTTTTGAATTGTTCAACAAAACATTCCCATGGTAACAACTGTTTTGAATTGATATACAAGTAAATGTAGATTTTTTCAGTAATTAACATAACTTGTTAATAAACAAACAACAACATGATCATAAAATATTTAGGATTTCAAGACAATTGAAGTTTAACTTTCTGTCCAAAACTGAGAGAGAAAAAAATATCTTCAAGCAGCATATACTAATATCAGTATTTATTATGCTTCTAAAAATAATACAAGTACACAATCAACCTGCATGATTTATACAGTAATCTTGGTAATGGGATCCATAGCACCAAAAGCTTACACTTACTTTGTTACATAAAACATTTGAAATGGCACATCAAGATTATCTAGTCTAAGGATTAGGGACTTGAAAATTAAAAAAAAAATCCTTGTGTTTTGTTATAAAGTAACCCAGAGTGCTTTTATCAAAGCCATTCCACAAGATAATTAAACAGGGTAAATATATTATGGCTATACATCAGAAAATCTACATGTTCATAGTGTATAATATTGGGATAAATAGTTATATTCTTGTAACAGCTAATATTAATGTGATTAAATTGATGCTTGTCATTAAACTCTTCAAACAGGTATCATGAATAGGGCTAGGAAATCAAAATCAAAATCCACAAATGTACGATTTAATTCCCAAAGTGGCAAAATCAAAACAAATGTAAGCTCCAAAGACAGGAAGAGATCTTTCACCCTTTATCAAATTAATCTTACTAAATTTGTACCTGTAGATGTGTTAATTTTGTTTTCTTGCACTGCCCAATACACAGAATTATAAAATTGTTTCTTGATTTGTTTATACATGTAAGTGTATTAATGGTGCATCATTGTAGAAAAAAAATATGTAACCCAGTGATCAGATTTCCTAAGAAATAAAGGAGGAAATATTCAGAGAACTTAAACATACATGTAGTTAAGTATTAACAAATCAATAAACACTACTGATACCAGTATTTCAAAGCCACTTAGTACTGCAGTGCATAAATACATATTACACACAATACTATTCCAACAGTCATTTCTTGCAACCTTTGTGAATTTTCTTTTCATTATCTTGAAGAAAAAAACCTCTTTACTGCACAAAACTTGACTTCATCAATCACTAAATAAATACGACATCTCAATCCTGTAGAACTATGAAAATCTGAAAGCTTTGAACAATATCACACTACCAAGCTACCAATATACGAAAGGCAACAAAATCCAGCACTTGATATATTTTTAGGCAAAATAACTTGGGGTCAGCATATCAAGCAAAATGACTCTTAGATCAACATAATGGAACTTTCTATTGGTGATAGGACACACAGAGATCTGTTCCGTGTATGTTCCTTATTATAAACAAAAGGTGTAGATATGTGTGGCAATAATAGACTAATGTTGCAAAAGAAAAAACACTAAATGAAAATTCTTTATGAAATGACTGGCGACAAATAATGTCACTTAAAGCAAACTGTTTACTGAAGAGTACAGGGCTGCAATATGCTTATAAATCTGAGGTAAAGTGAAGCACACGAGATAGTATATTTTATGCTGAACACTTAATTATAATGCCAACATTTTTGAGGTGGAATTTGACTAGTCAAAATACTAATTTTTCTGCATCAGTCTCAAAAGAAATATGCTGATGCTTTATTACATGGTAAAATTATTGAATGATAGGAAGACAACTGAAGGGCATTATAAAATATAATCAAGTCCTACTTGCATAGAAAATAGGCGTAACTGAGATATCGAGTCCAACACTGATCAACCTCTTACGGATTATAGATACAACCAAAAACACTGATCACCATTCAGGACGAAATGAGGAGGAATTTATGCATTTTATTTGTTTACCATATTTGTTTTTTTTTTGTAATCAACCTATACTGTCATTTTATCCTCCATAATGAAAGAAGTTTCAGTGATAGAATTGCATCAGCATGGACAAATATTTTTTATCAGATATGTGAAGCTAGTATACTTAACAATGTAATCAACCCAAAAAATCATAATAAAAGGATTAATTAAGTGTTGTAAAGCATCCACTACTAATTACTGGAAGTAATAAAGCAAATATACTTTAATAATAAGATTTTCTTATTTACTTATTCCATTAATATTTAAACACCATTTAGAATGGATTTATTTTAAAATGAGAGAAACTTCCAAGAATTTTGGCTTTTTTTCACAAACTTTAAGATATACTTAAAGAGTAAATACATCAATACTTAAATAAAATAGTAATCAACCAACAAGCAGCAGAGGCAGGAAAAAAAGTCACTATATGAAAAGTTGAAGCTGCCAAATTTATGTTGTTTATTTGATAATCCTATCTGTTTTTAGTCTTTTCTACTATATAACAGGTTCAGCGAAACAAGCAGACAGTGGCACAGCCACGATAAGTAGGATTACTTCCCCTTAACATATTGCACAAAATTATCACAAATTCTGGATGGAATGTGATCTATACTGAAATGGCTGGCAATTTGTACTTTACTTCAGAAACTGCTGTGAGGATCACACATTTAAACCTTACGTGGCAATAAGAATACTGTTAAATTCATGTTATTACTACTATTATTTTTTGAAATGCTATTAAATACTGGTAAACTGTTTGTAACTTGACTGCCACTGCTAAATAAGCCCTTGCATGCATTTCTTGCAATATCGTACAAACTACAATTTAAAACCTGATATTGGACTTAAAATAAATTTTACAAAAATCCATAAAATCCCCTTTTGTAGTTCAAAAACAAGGCAAACTGAGCTGCATTCTGATCAGCAATAAAGGAACAGCTTTCATCTTAACAATTCAAACAAGCACCCATAAATACATGTAACAGAAAAAGATCATGCTGATATTCATTAAAGCCTTTAGGACATTCAATAACAATGCATCAATAATTTGTTAAATAATAACAACTCCAGTAATAACAAATCTTAATAACAAAGCCATTCGAGGTCATCTACACACCCCACATCATATGTCACATGACCACTAAAGAAATGAAGGTCACAAGATCACTCTAACATCTAAAGATCATATGACCACTCAGGCATCATCTGACTTGTAATTCTCATGTATTCTTCCTTATCCCAGAAATCTAGAAGTTAATAATCTACTATGTATATATGTCAGAATTACAATATTCTAACTGTAATGTTCATGTAAATATACTATTGAAAGGGTATTTCTGAGCAGAGTCAGTACTTGAACAGAGATAACTGTCCAGGAATACAGTAAAACTTGTCTGATCCAGATATTGTGTATTCCAAATCTTGCCTATTAAGATTAAAACTTAAGTCCCTTTCAGTTAACTCAATTTTTAAAAAATACATTGTCTAATCTGGCAAATTTCTATAGAAGCAGTAATGTCCAGATTGGACAAGTTTTACTGTACTATTAACTCTGACAATATATGGAGGTAGATGTTTCAATTAATTAAAGTAAAGCTTAAATGGTACCTCCAGGAATATCTAAAATTTCTTTGTTCATTATAAAATGAATTACATTTGTGAATATTTCAACATACAGTTCAATTCTGGTTCCTCAAACTTTGATATGATGAATACCAGGGATATGTCAAAGTGAACTGATGACAAAGCCTCTTCAGTTTGAATTCTTATATAGTTCAAATTTGTCACTCCCTCCAATATCTGAGATATCAAGATTTGACTGTATTGCTTTTGGGGGAAAAAGGTGTGGAAGTTAATTTAAAGACTGGACTATATTTCTTTTGAATAGAAAGGTGGGAAGTATATTTTTTCCCACTTTACATCTTTTATTAACTGAATTTGTTGAAATTAACTGTATGTTGTAATACTGTCAATGTAAATACATTCCACATTCATCAGCATACATAACATGTAAATGTGCCTTCACTTAACAATTTATAATTGTAATTTCTTGTAGAGCACTTCCATTTGAACAAAACTATTCTTTAGGTTCTTCTTTTGGCTTGACAGCTTTGCTGGTGACTGAGATACTGCTAAATGGACTAGTGAAGGCTTTGCTGTCATCCGCAGGGCCTTCCATGGACTGGTTCAGCTTCTTTTCAATGTTGTCAAACTTGTCAGCACCTAGATAATCCACCTGGCCACGTTCCCAGTTCAGTTTTCGCTCCTGTTCACTCAGATGGGCCTGGGAGCCCCCACAGGTTCCTTTTGACTCTATGGACAGAGAGGCAAGTTCACCTATCAACCCACCCTACAAAATAGGACATACAATTATTTCTCCTTTCTTCGAATTTGGAATCTTTAATTCTCATTTCTGCTTTGTAAAGAATTAAAAAAATTATAATATGTTGATGCAGGTTTCAAGCACACGTATATCTATATAAAATTAAACTGTGATACAATGACTCCAGGTTAGTATTAACAGATCAAGAACAGAATATTATTCCAAGGAAAAAGACAGACCCATGCAACAACTGATATTAAATTACTTCTCTGATGAATCAAAATTAAGTTCATGCTTCAAATAACAAACAATAAAAGCATCTTTCTGAAGCATCCCATCCAAATCTTTTATATCAAAAGGTTGTAGCCCCTCCCCTTCACTCCCACAGGAGGGGTATTCTCTTATCCCCCTGAATTCACATAATAAAGCACTTACCAAGTAACCCAATAAGCCTTATATGATACAAATACTGAATCTCCTATACTTCAATAATTTAGATATACATGTTTATTACATTTTCAACAGTGAAATACTGTGATTTATTTATTGAATAAAAGTGATATTCTCTCACAGTGTGAAAGGATACCAAAATGATATTCTCTCACAGTGTGAAAGGATATCAAAGTAAGTAAAACATAATTTCTGGCCTGTCATAAGATAGAGATAGTAACTAAGCATCTTGATAGAGCTAAAACTGCAAATTTATTCCCAAGTATATTGTTAAAATCCATGCTATGTAATGTTTTCAATCACACAACTGCTAAGCTATGACGTCTCAACCGCTCAACTATGACGTCAAGCCTATGACAATAAAAGACAGAGGCAAAGGGAAAATCAAAGAAAATGTAATAAACAGAAAATTCAATGTTTTGTAGATGAATATGGAATTTATTTCACTCTTGAGACAGGATTTTTTATATTTTCACTCGTGCTATGCACTCGTGAAAATATAAAAAAATCCTGTCCCACTCATGAAATAAATTCCATATTCATCTACAAAACATTGAATATCCTCTATATATCTGGAAAACCTAAATAGTAGTAATTTCAATATACCAATGGATCCAAAACAAGTGTTGGAATTTCCAACACCCACTCATTTTCAATCTTGCAGCCCTTCTATATACTCCATATAATAAAACAAAGAGAGCATTTTGTTGCTTACAAAGAAAAGTCCATTACTATAGAAGCCAACTGTAATTAAGTACAAGTTTGCATCCTACTTCAGTTTAATAATATACTAATTCAGACTCTATGTGAATATTTGTATTACTGCTTCCAAAGATCTATAACATATAAGGTGCACAACACATTTGTGCCCCATTCAGTATAAAATGCTTACCATATGCATTTATCATTTTATCATGTACTTAACAAATACATGAACCTGACACATAACCTGTTGTTGTTTAAGGCACAAAAACATACCTTAATATAAACCTAATTTGACCCCAGACCCAAGCCATTTAAATAGTTTCACCTCATTCATACAGTGTCACCTCATTCATACAAACCACAGATGATGAATTGCATTCAACAGTTACTCTAACCTTGACTGAATTCCCTAAATCTCACAGTCCAGTAGCATTTTGTTCTTTTTTTTAAACAGAATGATAGTATGCAAGGCCATACCAGTACAAGTGTACAATATAGACATTTTTCTTACTGTGTATAATCTATCTGCAATTTAAATGACAAGGTCATTAATTCCTATAACAAGTGCTGAATTTGCTGTCCGACAAACATACTTATTGAATCATTCCTGACAAAATTATTCACAGCAAAAGGTTCATTTTAACAAATTTTATCAAATTGATTACCATTCTTATGTAATTACAGTAACTTCAGAACTATAGCTATCTGGTTGAGAAAATTCATGAAAAACCAGGGAGTTACAGATCCAAGCATTGTAAAAACCTTCGATTTACATCACTGCTTTTTCGTGGAACACTTCAGGTATTATTTCTTGTATTTAAAAATGCATTCCCCAGCCAAAAACATGGTACATCCTATATTTTACTCATTAGCTGTAGATACTTTATCTACCTTTCAATGATCCTTGGTAGCATGACCCCAACACAGATGTCAGCTGTGATTTTTTGAAACTGACATAGCTAGGGCTCTTTGGGACTGTTGAAAGGTAAATAGAGTAACAATATAGGGGTAAAATATATGGTTAATTAACATATACCATTCTTTAGTAGGATAACACATATAATACAAGAAACAATACCCGAAGCATGTGACAAAAAAGTGGCACCGTAAATTGAAGTTTTTTTTTTTACATTGCTTGGATCAGTAGCTCTCTAATTTCTCTGTCTGAATTTTCTCAACAAGAGAGCTACAGTTCTGCAGTTAGAAATCACAGTAAATTTGAATAATTTTAGAGACCATTCAGAAATTCATTATTAAATAAAAATCTTAGCTCTCAATGTTCAAACTTTTTACTGTACACAGCTTTAATTTATTGCAGATAAATTTTAACCAATTTCACATGATAAGAAAAATATTAAATAAAAAATTTAATTGAATTTAATTAAATTTAATCAGAATTGAAGCATTTTGTTTGGAAACCCCAGAAATATGTGAGTGAAATCAGAGCTGTATACAGTACTTATTTAACAACCTTTGCTACATTTCTCACAGAAAAAGGTATGTCTGCTTTGCTGTAATAAGTTGAGAAAAGGAGCTTACAAATAAAAAAAAAAACAAACAAAGGGGGGGGGGGTGTTGATTATGATGATCAAAAGCGAATAGCAAATTTGCATACTGTCATTGATTGTGAACTTTTGTATTACTAGAAGTTTTTTTTTTTTTTTTTTTTTTAATTTTGGCCATTTTCTTTGTTGAAATCAAAGAAAGAGTAAATATTCTACAAAAATTATTGATACTCATAAAAGACAAACTGTAGATTCCTAATTTAACACGACTACTTTATATTGGAAAATGATTCTTAAATGTCAAATAGTGAGAACATTAAATTGAAAGTGGGCAGTTGATCAATAGATCTTACAGGGATTTCAGCATCATAAAAATAAAAGTGAGTAATTTTGTTCGTAATGCTATTCGCAAAATTACACAGTACAGTAATTAATTCCTCAGGTATATTTAGGAATCTACAGTATTATATTTTAATATTGTCAAAATCTTTCTGATTTTGAAAAATAAAAAAAAAAAGTGAGAAAAAATGTAGTTTTGGAAATACAGTGTCAATGACAATGTTTTGGGAAATTTAATACCCCCTGTAACCAAACGTTCTTCGGTTTTAATTGAACACTGTCTAATTGAAAAGGTGAACCAAAATTGCCTGGGATTCAGATAGAATTGATGCCCAAAAGAAGCACCTGTCAATTTGTGATGAATACACTCACTAGAGGTAAACTCACCTCACCTTCCTCTGTGGACTCTATATTTTTAGTATAACCACTAGCACCACTATCTTTGTTGATTTCTTTTTCTGAAGAATTGGATTCTTCAGATGTTATATCTGGGCTTACTTCACCAATGTTCAGTTCACTATTTTGAACTCCTTGTTCATGAACACAACCTGGTTCAGATTTAACTGTAGGATTATTTATTTCCTTTTTTATTTCATTGACTGCTGCCCATGTTTTCACAACTTGAGGAACCTCCAGAACTTTAGCAGCTGCCCTATTTTCTTGATTGTACACAGAAATTGGTTCCTCTGCATAATGGGACTCCAGACTAGAGTAAATTCGGGTTATCACGGGGATTTCTTTCACTTCAGAGGGATTTTCAGAGGGTGCGGAAGAGTCTTGTGCTTTGGAATGGTAAGAAACATCCTCAATATCTGGAGGTTTATATGGATATATAATGGGGACTGTAGCTTTGGGTGGTTCAATGCCTTGCAGTGGATTTGCTTCTATATGACTTGACATTAAGGTAGAGGTCTGGAATCAGAACACATTGGCAAGTGGGATCTCAAATGCAGATTACAAAGGTTATCTGATTGCTCTAACTCTCAGACTTTCAGAACGTGTAGGTTTCTGGGTAAACAGGGTGAATCATTGGGAATTTGTATCAAAAAAGTTATGCTGGTTTAAATTTCATGCAAGTACAAAACAGAAAACCATCCTGACTGTGACATCACTGTGTTACTTTTGGTGATGTGGAAATTCAGCAACTAGAAAACCTTTCTAAAATATTTGAAAACTTTCTCCCTAGCAATATGCAGATCTACAAGAAGTCCAATTCATTACTGTAAAATCACTTATTTTTGTGGGGTCAAATTTTCATGGTTTGAAATATTACTGGTTCAGGGGGTTTTGATTTCATGGTCAAGAAGAAACATGGTACTGCAACGTGCAGTTTTCAAATTTCATGGGGGATATGAATTTGTGGGTCTCTTTAAACAATAAAATGCTTTCTTTGGTTGTTAGTACGGGAATTAATGTCGCAGCTTTTGCAGAAAAAAATACATAACCCGTGTAAGCGGGTTATGTACAGGTAAACTTCGTTATCTCGACATCGACGGGACCATCGTAAAATGTCGAGATATCCGAGGTGTCGAGATATCAGAGTTGAGACTTGACGTCCAAGATTTCATTGCACAGCAAAACAGACAAGCTTATTATATGTACATGACTTTAATATAGACTGTAGCTCAACATATTTCAGAATCTCTCTATTTTTATTAAAAATCTAAGAAGTTATTTTAAAAATCTTGTTTATGAAACGTGTTCTTTATCGAAATATTTCTAAATTCACAAAGTTTCAGCACAAAGTTACAGCATTGAGCTGCATTCGCGTGTAACTTGCCTTTTCGTCAGAACAGGATACGAAATGAGCTCTATAAACTTCGAACCGTATAAAGTCGACATCCGATATACGGTAAAAGAAAAATATAAATGCGGATTATTTTTTTCTTATTTTATTCTGGAAGAATATACATTAAAATTAATTTTTTTTAAAGAGATTTGTGTATCTAAACTAACGTAGTGATGTTACAGATGCACGAATTACGGCTGATTCGGTCAATCGTGTCGTTAATTGGATTGTTTCCTGTTGAATACATTTTAACTACAAAATATCATTAAAACATTTTTTTAATTCCTTAGTTTGAATTTTTCAGTGTGTTTTTTTATTCATTGTTATTTAGTTATCTTTTTCAAATTTAAAAGTTATGTTACGTTTCGATATAAATAACATTCTGTACATTTACGCAGAATCGTGTAGATTTAGTAATGATATTACCCAAGCTCAATCAACTTCTCAAAGACGCCGAAGGGACTTGGGATTCACCTACAAACACAGTCTATAAAATTAATTAAGCAGCGTGCAGTCAAAACATGGGTGTGAAAGGTGTGAAACTTTGACGACGTCGAGATACCCGGAGTCGTCCGTGCGTGACGAGCGACCCTATCTGACAAACAGTTAGGTTCAGTAGAGCAGAAAATTGCCGATGTCGACATATACCAGGTAAATTTTGCTCCTGGGACTGTAAATATACGTCGAGATAACCCAGGTTGTCGACATTACCGAGGTCGACATATCAGAGTTTTTGCAAATCATTTATATAGTAAATACTGCCGGGACCGCGGAAGGATGTCGACATATCCCAGGTTGTCGACATATCCGATGTCGAGATACCGAAGTTTACCTGTATATTTTTTTTCTGCAATAGCTACGACGTTAATTTCCGTACTAACAAACAAAGAAAGACATTTTATCATTTATATTTATATCTTTAAAATAAAATATTCAAAGTAAATTAGAAATGTTAAATAATGTATTATAGATGTGTATGTCATTGTATGCATAATTGATGGAACAGCCGTTGCTTAATAAATCTATGCAGGTGGCTTGCTTAGTGTTGTTTATGGACTGATTAACGGCAATGATTTTTATAAGAAATAAAGGAAATAATATTCAGTGGATGTAAATATTCATATCACAAAAACAACGAAAATTAAATCCCCATGAAAATTAGTGATTTCACAGTAACCACAATGACCATCTTCATCTAGAGATGTTTCACTACCTCAGGACTGCGAAGCAAACACCAAAAACAAGACACACCATAGATTAACAAAAGAGTAATCCAACACGTTTGGAAATTATGCATACAACTTTCGAAAATGTTAAATAAGCACATCACCACCAACATAATCCTTTGAAATTAAAAATGTTTTGACCAATCTATGGCTTAAGTGGCCTTTAATTTGGCAGAGTTCTATGGAAGGGGCCTCTACAGTTCTACTGTTTAGAGTTTACAAATTGATTGCAAAAGGGTGGGGTTGAGCGATGTGCCAGTGATAATCAGACAATAAAATTAAAGAATTGTTTATCTTCCTGAAATATTATATTAATCATTCTCTAAGAATGAATCAAAATGCTCATTGTTTTTATACATACATAGCACATAATAAGAACTCTGTACATTTAATCAAAACTAATTTCTAATTTTTTTCATAATTATATCTCATTTAAATGTGTTTCTCAGCCAAATTGAAGCTTGCATTATAACGATGCCAGGTTCAGTGAAAGCAAACAACTACTAAGCTTTTTCAACCTCAAAACAGACATTACTTACTGATTGGGATGTTAATCGATCTTAATGTTACAAAATAACTTTTCAGTAGGGAGGGTCATTAAAGCATCAAGGAAATATTTTACAAGTTATCTCCCTTGGTCCATTCTTTCAATATATACCAACCCTGCCTATATCCACAAGACAGAATCAAACTTGATATCAAAATATGTCCAACAACCTACTGAAATAAAATTATACAATTATCATTCAAAAGATTAAAAGATTACTAGAGGGTTGCTGGTAATTCTTGCTGGACTCTATATACAGGTGACTCTCGATCTCTCAAAGTTCAAGGGACCGTCAGAAAAGTTCGAGAGATTGGGGGGTTCGAGATATAGAAAGTGAATAAAATCCGGATTTTCAGTTTGGATCATCATTGTTCTACTATTATAAATACCGGAAGTATATGTTGATCATGTCATTACACGTTTCATTCGTATGTTACAGGTAATTCACTTGATTACAACAACAATGATCATATTTTAAATAAATTAAATGACTTTTTAAGGCTCAATATTTATTTGTTCTCATTTAATGATTACATGAAACCTGAATAGCAAATGTCGATTGGTTATCCCCCGGACTTGATCGGTCCTTCACCAGATTGCTCGTAATCGGTATTCAATTCTTGAGATAGGATTTGCCAAACTGGGATTGTGTAGACTAATAACATTAAAGTTCATAATCTATGGAAAATTATTGACACGTCCTTCAATTATTTTCTCAAAATATTAGCTCGTCTAGTCAAAATAAGCTGTGAAGCGATTTTTTTCTAATTTGCCAATTAACCAATTAATTATACAATGTATCAACACTCACACGACTCACAGGTGAAGTATCATTTATGTATAAACACCCAATTAACGCGTCCATACCAGCCCCAGGTCTTCACCGTTATCCAGGTATGTCCAAGCTGCATTAATTTTACCCTTGATTGGCGTGTATACATGTGCAATCAAAACTTCGAGAGATAGAGAGTAAAAAACAATGAAATGTATGTAACGGGACCCAGGTCTTGGTTCGAGAGATAGAGAACTTCCGAGAGATCAGGAGTAAATTTGCTTAGTTATATAGAGAAAAAATCGGGACAGGCGGTTCATTTAGAGAGATCAAGAACTTCGAGAGATCTGAGTTCAAGCCATCGAGTCACCTGTATTATGTTCACCGGTACACTAATAGTTATCAATGGTTACTATTGTTCAGTATACACGTATATAGACTAGTTAATTTAGTAACGGAAACCGAATTGACTGAGCAGATATCAAAGACCTAAGTAATTAGAAATTATTTGTTACTAAGAGTATTTACATGAAAATTAAAATCCTTTACCTTGGAATAAAAAGATCATGATTAATTCAAGGAATTTTCAGACAAACACATACTGGTAAGTCTCAAACCATCACAATCTGTTCTTCACAGGGAAAAAATTCTGCCTTTATAATATTGAAGACAGATGACAATCTAATTGTCCAGTCTGGAATACTTCATCAATTACTGGTTCATACTGTATTTAAGAAACCTTAAGTTCACACTTTGTCAACTTAAAACTAGACATTCTGCAACAAAACTTGATATCCCTTCCACCAATGGTATAGTCCTGTCAACTTATCTTATATTCTCTGGTAGTATATGTACTCCATTTAACATACAAATATGTTAGAATCATCACTTTGATCATCTCAACACTAACACATGCATATAGCTTCATGGAACATGAATGAAACAAATTAGTATTCAAATAATAGTATCAAATAAACAAATTTTAAACCAGCATACTCAAATGACCAAGTGAAAAAAAGAAGAGAAAGGGTTGGAAGTCTGAGAGTTAGTCACAAAATGTCTGCTACTCATATCCATATTTAGCTCAAATTGTTAGTCTGGCAGTTTTCAAGTTAAATAAAATAACCTTTGCAACAAAGAAAAGGCCATTTTGCCACAATGCTCACCTGAATAAGAGAATTTATTTTAACATTACTTAAAGGGTAAAATCACTACTGCCATGAAGGAATTTTTAACCCATAATTGGAGGGAGGTGCTCATGTCACAAGATAAAAACCTAGCTGCTTAAATATCCCATATCAGTCACATTTTAGTTGTTAAATATATTAATATACTTTTGTTGTTTCACATTGTACACTTCATAAAAAGAGGGAGCAAAGATTAAAACTACTCTTAGACTAATAAATAGACTAATAATAGACTAATAAAATACTTTTATACTTTTGATATTGCAATTCCACAATCACGTATCAAGTTCAGCTGTACTGAAAAAGTAGAAATGTGCCAAACAAAGAGACAGGCACAAATTTTGATCAAAAAAGCCTGACTTGAGCTAAAACTTTTGTGAAAATTAGAGATGTTCTGCAGTGTAGAAAAACATTTAATAAAGACAAGAAAATCACTTTTCTGTTTATTGTTTTTTTTGTAATAATAATGCAGTTATATGTAGTTCTACAAGCTGCCACAGAAGCCTCCCATGCTTGTTATATTTATAGGCCAGTCCAGAACTTAGAAGCTGCTGATTCAGGTATCAAAATATTGACCGCAGAACAGCATACATATTTAGCCAAACAATAACTTAAGTCACACAGCCAAACAGTGTTCTAAAATTTTCTTTAGTAACTTAATTTGTTATCATGTTTAAACTTTTCAAAAAAAAAAAATCCTTTACAAAGCACTGTGACTCTCAATAAGGCAGGTCCATGACTAGATTCAGTTACCCAGTATCAATTTAACACAGATTTTTATTACCTATGATACTTAGTTCAGGTCATGTCCACACTGAAATATTGTTATTGCATAAGCCATGATGATTCAGTGTGATATTAACCTGATTGTGGCTTAAAGAAACCCACTTAATATGGATACAACATGAGTCAACTAAATTTTCATACATGAGTTAAGCAGATTTACTTTGATGTGAAGAACAGCTAAATGTTTAAATGCACTTGCATGTTACTCTCCACTGTGTTACACAGAATTCTACAGAATGAATCTTGTCACTTGATGTTTACATTTCATCCAATTACAAGCAAAATCCTACACAAAATACCCCCTCTGACATTGTTATTGATCTAATTAAGAGTATATCAATCTTCTTTTCAAGAGAAAACGTCATTCAATCCCATATGAATGCTTCCATCTCTTTTTGATGATAGCTAAATTTTGACTTGTCTCAAAAGAACATTTCCTAACCATTTTAATTAAACTGCATGATACATGCAATTGAGACAAATCAGTGACATGATTTTTCAACTTTTAAACATTTTTGCTACCATAGGACAGACTTTAGTAAGTGTTAGGACATATAGGTACCACATTAAAGAAGAGCTCCAACCAGTCATGCCATAAGTAGAATAGGAAAACAGAATTATGTTCAAGAATGAGTAAAGGAAACAGACAAGATTACACAATATTCAAAAGATTGATTCTTTCTTCCAGTTACCATCAATAAAAGGAAACAAAATCTGTCATCTATACTAGTTTCATAATTCAATTTTATTTTAAATCTTTCTCTTTTTTTCATATTTCAGAAAATGTGGGTAGAATGTCCATATTCAGGTAAAGATAATTTGAATATAGATTTATTTTTTTTTTAGAAGGGGTGGGGTGATTTTACAGCTAAATGACCTTCATTGCTGTATTTCCTAACAAATGGGCACTAATACATGCACAATTAGCTAAAGGTTTAAATAACAATCGAGCTGTCCATTTTCAGTGATCTCGAGTCTTGTTGTAAGTCTATCACTCTATCCTCTCTTATTTAATTTAATGACTGGTATGTAAAACACTGGATTTAGTGTACAAAATGGGCATTTCTAATTGCCATGCCTGCTCCAGCAAGCTAAAGAGACAGTATGAGTTTCTATATTTAATAAGTTTATACCAGGTAGGCAGGTATTAAAGCATTTTACGTTTATAAGTTCCTTACAGAAATGAGCCATGTACTGTGCTCGTGCTTTTGTGTACTTGTAGGGCTAATATGCAAGCCCTGTGCTTGAAGCATTTACCTGTAGACACATCTTCACATCCCTACACATTTTGCCCGTATATACTTCAAGGGCCAATAGAAAAGCAATGTGTTTGAAGCATTTACACTACATTTACATTCATATAGAAAATTATGTTTTATGAATGTTATTTATATGTGAGCAAGTTATCACTGATAATTAACTTCACAGTTCATCTGCAAAGAGCTCTCTTAATAAAACTGTAATATCTAAGTCATAGACCATATGAGCTAAGCAGTTCTTGTAACTTTTGACTGACATTAATATTTTCAAGTTTTTATTCCTTCAGAATTCAATAGCATGGTGCATGGAATGCTTTTCCGTTTCACAGAATGCAGCTATATTTGTGACACTACAATCTGGTGGGTTTCACTCTTTGATGTACTCAACCTAGAGGTCAAAAGGGTATGTCAATGGTCAATTGGCAAGGACTTATTTTATTGCAGCAAATATCTTCAGTTTTGATTGCTAGCAAGTCCCATTCAATTTCCTTTTACATATCCTTTGTCCTCAAGTTCTGGAGATCTGGCAGACACCGAAGAAGAAAACCCACACAACTGCTATGTAACAATTATTGCAGTAATTCTGAAACAGTACAGGTCACAATGCCATGCTTAATAACAGAAATGGACCAATTCAAAATCCCCTTTGTTAATGAAAAACTTTTCAACAATTGTCAAAAGATATGGACAGTTATCTACAAATGTTTGCAAGATGTTGTTAACAAAAAAAATTTAAGATATGGACATTTATCTATAAATGATTTTAAGATGTTGTGTCAATTAAAAAATCCACTGTTTCGCAATAATCATGTAAAATTGGTCACTTAATTACCTGAACAGGTTTATTCAAAACTTAACGACGTTCTTCATAATCCAATTAATATCTATGTCAAATGCAAGACCTACACCTTCATAATGAATACAACCACTACTTGTTGGATATATCATAGTGCAATAAGAAGCAGAAATAAAATGTCTGTAAAATCTTACCATCTGATCTCTCTGTAAGACATGCAATGCAAAAAAAATTAAACCATGATCATACAAAATGCACAATACATGTATAACTAATCTGCACAAATACACAATTGTTATGTTTTAGTATACCTATCAAAATATAAGATTTCAATTTAAATTGTTTTAGCTTTTACATTTTACAAATTATTCATAGATCGACATACGGAAAAAGACAATATTTAATCTAAAAAAAGACAATAGATAAGTGTGCATGATGTGAAATATCTTCAATTAAACTTTACTATGTTAACTTTGTTTTGTTGATCTATAAACCATGACAGCTTGTTTAGTTGTATACCTTCAGAAAAAAATTCAAGAGCCATGGAAAACAAGCAAATGGCCAATATTTGAGCAAGCGGTGTCGTCTTTTGAAAGATTTAAAGGTATATGTTGATATGTAAACACAATTGTTTTCTGTATTAGAGCTCGCTGAATTTTTATCATCCTTAGAAAAAGAAGGCATGGAATAGAAAGAAATAATTGTTAGTTTACAGGCATGCCTAGAATACATGTTGATAGATTTATTAGAAATGAATCAACAAAGAATACTTCTTTACAGATAAAAGTAAAACAGCATTCAGTTCATTACTCTTGATGGTTAATAAATTCATTTTATAGTAACCAAATTTTAAAAAGAAAAGGCAAAAATCAAAACAAAGAATACTTATTAATAAAGAAATTCGTTAATTTTAAAATTTACAAGGACTTGTGCACCTGAACTTAAATGGCCATTTTTCAAACTGCATACATTATTCTAAAAAGCACAGTTTGCACAGAAATGCAGCGTACTAAGATAGCTAAATATATGTATCACAAAATCCTGGTGTTATTTTAAATAGATGATACTTCACAATCATGCACACTGAGGCAAACTTAAACATAATGCTCAAATGACAGAACACAGCAAAAAAAAAAAAAAAATCATTCTCAAAAAATGATAGGCTGTTAACCTTGTCATGTGATAAGATACTCAGCTGGTGCAGATTTACTTACAAGTGATGGGTCTAAAGTGGGCTGAACAAAGGTCATGAAGATATCCCACCATATTTGTAGATAGTCTTTGTTGTGTCCAGTTTCTGGAAGGGGCGTGACCTCCTTTGTGGCAGTATTGTAGGGGTGATGCCAAGGCTTTGTGGCACCAATAAAATGAACTATTTTTACAGAGTCCTTGAACCTAAAAATGATCAAGGTCACTTTGAACAATAGGTCAAATACCAGTTGATTTTTATTCATATCAGAATAATTTAGAGATATTTATATGCACTTTCTTTTAAGTGCTTAACATAATATTTCTTCTGTGTAAACAAATAGGAATTCTACAATATCTTGTATAGATTTTATCATAAGAAACTATGAATTCCTCATGACATAATGTCTCAATATTGATAAATCCTGTTTGGCGTACAGTAAAATAATATTCTTCTGAGATGTCTCATGGTATGTAAAGCTACTTCTAATCTTCAGATAAGATCAAACAGTCATCTTCTACACAGAACCTTAACAAAGAATCCACAAATCTGTGACTGAAGAAGAGGTCCATGGGCCACAATGCTCACCTGAGTCATTATGGACCTGCTGTTCTTCAGCAGCAGATTTATTCCCTATATTTTCGTCTATAAATCTTTGATCACCTATTGTGGCCCCACTCTACATCCAGGGATCATGGTTTGAATAAAAAACTTGAATCTACACTACCTGAAGATGTTTCCATATCACTATGACTTATCAGCCTTTGCTGTTCTTGAGAAGAATATTTTTAAAGATTCTTTCCTATATATTCCTATGTAAAACTTTGATCATTCATTGTGGCCCCACCCTACCTCTGGAGGTCATGATTTGAACAAACTTGAATCTATACTACGTTAGGATGCTTCTATATCAATATGACTATTTATGCCTTCTGTTCTTGAGAGGAAGATTTATGATTAAAATATTGTTAAATCCTATGTATTCCTATGCAAAACTTTGATTATCCATTGTTGTCCCACTTTACACCCTGGGGTCATTTGGACAAGATTCCCCCCTGGGGGTCATGATTTGAGCAAACTTGCATCTGTACTACTGCAAAATCATTTTAATTAATGAGGGTCAATGTTCGTGGGCAAACAAAATTTTACTTGTTTCTGGGGATGTAGTTTCTTGGGTAACTCGTTTATACAGTAGATTCAATGAATCAATATGTTTACAAAATAAACATTAATGGGGAAATTCTTGGGTAAGGGTGACCCACATGATCAATGTACATTGGTCCCCCACAAACAATGATGATTCCACAGCATGTAATGAAGCTTTTAAATAAGTTTCATTTTTTTCTGGCTCCAAGGTTTTTGTGAAGATTTCTGAAACACCCATTAAATTTTCACTAATTCTAAATATCTCCCCTTGAAAGAAAACATGGCCTTTCATTTGAACAAAATTAAATCCCCTTTCCCCAAGGATGCTTTGTAGCTAGTTTGGTTGAAAATGGCCCAGTGGTTCTGGGGTAGAAGAGCAAAATGTGATAAGTTTACCATTACAGCACCTAAGACAGACAACGAACAAATTTTGATCAAAAAAGCTCATTTGAGCCTTTGGCTCAGGTGAGTTAATAAAACAATGGAAAAAGATTCATATGCATCAGAAAATAACTCACTGTGTGAAAGCTGGAAGATAGCTGTAAAATGCCTGAGATACAACATTGTAGATAAATGGAAGATGTCTAGCTATATCTTTTGTTGCCCAATCTCTAAAGTACATGTTCAGCAGTCCTTGATCTCCACCTACAATACACAAAGTACATTTAACACTGATATGTACTCAGAAAAACAATTTTATTATATTTAATGAAATTAAATTTTATCTTCTCAAAAAATTTAATTTTTTCAACTCAAGCTTGTAAAACTTGTATCAGCTATATATTCTTCAAGGAATAATATTAGGAGATATTAATTCTCAAAATAAACTTTACATGCACATATCCTTACTTCATTTCTTTGAAATATTACCATAACTCAATTATTTCATTAGCCATACCATCAAAACTTCCTTGGGACATGGCAAACTTAATGAGTGAATTGTAAGTTTCTTCTGATGGACGAAAGACAAAAACTCCGGAGTTGAAGCAGTCAGGCCAGCCAGCGTCCGGAGCAGCGGACAGTTCCTCTCTGTCAAAAAGTTCATCCACATTCTGCAAGATCTGAAAAATGGTGCAATAATTTGGTTATGCATATCAGTAAGCAAAGATTACAATGTTAACCTTGATGAATATAATGTATATCAATGGGACTGAGTCTCAACCCAAATGATTTTTAAATGACATAATTTTCAAATTTTCATTAATAGAAGTGATTCCTTTAGTAAAATATTTGCCTTTTGTAACACGGTATGTAGTCAGTGCCATTCATCTTATCTATGTGGAGGAGCTAACTGATAATGTCTAAATGTTTCAAATTTATCCTCTTTTTTTGCAGAATTCACAAAATTTCAAAATGACTGAAAGACCTTGCAGAGATTACCTGTGTAATGAGTTGTGTGAAGTAATCCGTTATCACTTAGGCCATAATAAAAAAAATCCTAGATTCTCATCCCAACCCACCGCATTTTCACCCCCACCTATATTTTTTTTTCTTTTCAAATTTCTGTTATATCTGGAATTTTAACAGCTCTTAGTCTCAATTCTGATCAGGATGGATCAGCATTTAACTTACCATTCAACTTTTGTTTCAAACCCCTGAATGTCTTTGATTTTGTCTGCTGACAAGATGGTGTTTCACTCACAGTTTGCATAATAATATCGTTTATACAAGACCACCAGTTGTGAAAAATTGTTAAGGGTACTGTAGATTCCTTATTTTACCCGAGTACTTTATATCGCGAAATGGCTAATGTGCGTCAAATCGCGAGAAAAATAATTTGCGAATGGGTGATTTATCTAGAGATTTTACATACATTAAAGCACCTTAAAAATAACAGCAAGTAATTTTATTTCGCGAGTTGTGCTTTCGCGTAATTACGCGATAATTTATTCCTAGCGTATATTTAGGAATCTACAGTACATGGTATGAGATGAAATATGTATATTTAAATGGAACTCTGTAATGACTTTTATTTAGGCATAATAGATAAACCTACATCGATTCACGAGGTCTACAAAAATATCTGCATGATGAAACAAATAAAAATAAAATCTGCACACCCACTACAATTCTTCAAAAAATTTGGATGAGAATCTAGAATTTTTTTTTTATTATGTCCTTATTGAAGATGAACTATGAGCAAAATAATGGATAAGTGAAGACAGAAGTCAAGGTCACAGACCAATAAAATGCTCTATAGGGAATCTCTTATTTGTGAATGATAAAGTATAAACCAGCAATGAGAGAGACATTTTCTGAAGCAAGGACGGAAATGTGTCAAACTTGAACAAAACATGATGTATGATTCCAGTAGTAGTTAAATAATTATATAACATGGATGCACTTGTAGTGAACTCTTGTTTTAATGATATAAGAATAGCATTATGAAAAAAGAAAAGAAAAGACAATGTCACAAGACTAAAGCAATTCATTCCATTCAATCCAGCACTCCCCCAGATAACAGAATGATGTAATTATAAAGCACCTCACCAGAACGATATTGTGATTCTTGACAAAAATAATTCTGTCACAAGGACAGACAGTTAAAAAAGCCTTAGAAATAAGAATAATGAAATGCATTACTGTACTGCACTTTAAATCAGCTGAAGAGTTGTAAATCAGACTCTCTTGAGAGCTGAACAATCAATAACAACTACAGCTCTATTAAAGACAGAATCCTGATATCAAACTGCTGGAGCAATTTATTTTTTAACTTGACACTTTGGAGTTTTGGAGATAAGAAAGGAGAAATGGAACTATAAGCAAAATGATAGAAC